TATCTTTTAATTTAAATATTCAATCTGGACAATGCTTTGTCACAGTTAAAACAATTGAAATAAGAATCTATGAGAGTTCATGCACTTCTTTACTATAGGACCAAATTCATTTTTGTTTTCAAGTTCTTTTTTTTAATATAAATTTAGAATTCACTATCAGACGAAATTAATTGAAGCCGGTCATTATATGAAGAAGTGAACTGTCAAGGATTTATATTTCAATCGTTAGTAACCATGATACCGTGACTAAGGATCGTAAAAATTGTATTAATATTTATTATATACATGAGATATATAGATAAGATCATTAGATAAAAAGGCTATATATCTAATAGAGAGATAGATAAATAGAAACACAGATATAATTAGATAGATAGGTGGAACATTACCCCTTTCTTTAAATGCATGTGTACATTTGAATAGAAAGATAATGAGAATGATAGAAAGATGAATACAGAGTTAGAGAGAGAGAGATAGAAATATTAAATATGCCCGTAATAAGAGAATACAGTCAACAACTAAATTGGCAAATGGGCCTAGGCCTATTGTCATGTTTAAATATGTGAAGATATTGAACAAAGGCCCCCAATTCAACAACCCTACCTCTCAATCTTGAGTTGCGAAAAACTATTATAAAAAAAAACATCAAATTTACAAGGGGTGTGAATGAATTATTGTTTAATTGATGTACCGTAAATGGCTTTAGACTTTCAAAAATACGTTTTGAACTTAACATAAATGAAATATCGATACTTTGTCCATATTTTACGAATTATCGATAACCCTAGGTAAGGCATCGTTGTAATCGTTTCTGTGTGTAGGTCAGTTTGGGTTTTCCCCGAGATAAAGCGGGCTTGTAATAAAGTAAACAAAAGATAGGCATTCAACCGCATCGGGGTTTCTACGTTCGGTGCGATTTGACCGGTACAGGTGCAAGATTGCGCAATATCTCGTCAAATAAAGTTAGCAAATAGACCTACGTCAAATACTAAGTAGCGTCCAAAAGAAGTGGTGTATGTCATGGGCATGGGCCTACAATTAACTCTGTTCATGCTATTCTGTTTTGCTTATCTATTCTTTTCTATTTATATTATACAATCTATGGATCGGACATTTTGTAGGCTATTATTTAGCCTTCTTACCGCAATAAAATATGCAATTTGATTTATTAACCAACAGCAAACCAGTTCATACCCTGATATTTACATAATAGGCCTACAAGAAGAGAAACTATTGGTTGGTAAAAGGGGCCAGATATACTGAGCAGGTGTGGTAGTCGAGCTTAACCCCTTACCATCTAATTTCTAAACAAAGACTTTTTCTACAAGTAGTTCAGAAAACGTAACAAAACAAAATAATTAGTTTACTATAAATACAATCGATACTAACAAATAAGAATACTTAACAATTTCTCACAACATACAAACTGAAAATACAAAATAGTATTGTACATAATTATGCAGACTATTGACATGGTTTTTTCATTCATGATTTGTTTAACAAAATGACTTGTAACGGAATTCAGCAAGCCTTTTCTAGACATTGTTTATTTGTCACAACCAATAGGCCTTGTCTTGCAAAGGCGGTTCAGCGAAGTTTTATGTTGACGATTAGGCCTATCATTATAAAGGCTTCTCTCTACTCCTGTTTTGTTTTAATGACTAACCATTAGCATCAAGCCCCCCCCCCCCCCCCCCATCAATACAAAATGGAAGTAAACAAATGTCACCAATGAACACTAATGTAGAGGCAAAGTGGCCTTTTCATTATTCTCATCATGTTTTCAGTTGCAATTGATTTTATACGAAATTTGTACAAAATATATTTTTGACACGAGATAATTAAGATACATGAATTACATTGGTTTTCAGGGGAAAGGGCTTAGATCGAGAGCAGCTTAAACCGCTCTATTTATTAAAAGACATGTACCGGTACACTTTTAACCAGCTTTTCACCAAAGTGACTTGTTGTCGTTTTTGCTGTTGTTGTTTGTATGTTAGTTTTGTTTACCTAACTGTTCTTTTTTCCTTCACAGCCGTTTACATCAAAGATTGAATGTCAGTTAACAATTTGCATCATTTTAATTGTAGCAGTACTGGATAATTAATATGAAAAGTTCCAAGAAAACTGATGACTGAATTCAAATGTTATCTCAGCATGTTTTTCTTCCTTATCCTTGGCTAGCGGCCACAATTTCATACACTTGCTATGAATACTGGCACCTCTATGGATGGAACCCACTTTTCTTACATTAGTTGTTGCTTTATCGGACAAGTCTTTATTAGCTTTTTAGTTGTAAAGAAGTATAACATTTGTAAATGTATATTGGGCTTAATGATTGAAATTGGACGCATGAGGGCGGTAGAGAAGAAAACAGGGCCGTAAAATAAATACGAAATATTTTTCGGAATTGGCAATTGTTTGGAATCTTGTGTTCAGTGCATGTCTCCCATTATTCTGTTTCAGCGTTAAATATATAGGACCTTTCGGTCGTCTGACTCGACGACCCGGTGGGGTCACTCAATGTGACTTCCTCGATGATCGAATAACAGTCGGTCGTATGAGAAGAATGAGTTAAATGAAATAAAGTTAATACAACAAAATACTACATTCCGTTCGAATTGATCCTAATGTTGTCTCCTTTTTTATTTTAAAATCATACTGAAGTCTCTGCATATGATAAGACATTTCTTCATCTGCAAAACGTGTGTATACATATTTTGTTCGACCGACCTTTATTTCCGCCATTTTCTTTTTCTTCTTAAGGCTAAGCAGAAAGCTTAAATGACTTGTATGTGTTTTTATTTCCTTGTCTGTTTTGTGTTATTGTTTCGTGTTATTTTCCTTTTGTTGTCTTTTTTCCCTTTATAGTTTACCTTTATCGGATTTTAAAGTCTCTTTTTTAACTTGCATTTTTGTATCTCCTCAGTCTGTCCTTTTTTCCCTCTCTCTCTCTCTCTCTCTCTCTCTCGCTTTCTTTCTTTCCCGCCCACTAAATCACTAAAAAAAAAATCCAAGATCGGTTGAACTTTTATAGACCCCTCCCCCTCTTTTTTTTTTTTTTTTTTTTACCTCGATCGATTACATGTATGTGCCCCCCCCCCCTCCCCAAACATCAAACTCTGGCTACGTGCTTGGGGGGGGGGGGTAGATTATAAAAATTGAACAAAGAAGAAAGTCATGAAAGTTGACATTCGAGAATCGAGATCGATTAATTTCTCCTTGTCAATGTTGTCCTGATATGTAATGCGCAGGCCCTACAATAAAGAACTTTAAAAGTTGTTCTATACAATTGAAAGAATTTCATTTCTCACTTAAAGGGATCCGGTAGCCTTGTCTCAGATTCTGAAACAAAATTCTGGATTTAGCTTAAGGTGCAATGATAATTATAAACATTTAGGTGAGTCAGGAACCCCCTGTCTTTTACAAGACGATCGCCTGTCTGATTATCAAGATATTTATGATTAGAAATCGAAACCAAATTTTGCGTTTACACTACAGTCTATTGGGGAAAACGAGTATAGTAAAACCGGTCACTCAAAGATATTTAGTTTTTTGAGGCATTTCTTGATCATTTTGAAGGGCATTTTTTGTAGGGCTTCAATATTACACCATATCACAGACACTGATAACACGTAGGGCCGTGTATCTAAGATTTAACCTTGTTAAACGATCCCATTTAATGATGGCAAAGCCATAGGCGCCGGAAGTGTGGGGGGAGGCAGCACGTGTAGCCCCCCCCCCAAAAAAAAAAAAAACGCCCCCCCCCTCCCCTAAAAAAAAAAGGAGTAAAGATGGTTTGTATTTTTTAAACAAAAGAACATACACAAATTAATAATAAAACCTGAATTGAATCACATACAAATTAAATTCCATTCACAGAAAAGAAAAGTTAACGGGATTTAAATTTCCCATACAGTCCGCATGCCCCTATATTTATCAATGGAGGTTTTACCCGGAGGTTTTTATAATAGCGATACGCGCATATCGTGGAAATATTGTGAGATGATGAAATAGCGTGTGTGTCTTTTTTTATATATTTTTTTTATTATAGAGGTGAGAAGACATGAGCCCCTGAACACTGGCGTACTGATGGGGGAGGAGGGGGGGGGGGGAGGGTATTTCTAATTTGATACCAGATGATTTACAAATGTTTCTAAAATGACATGATTTTCCGAATTTTGTATGCGTTTGTTGGAATTACAAATTCTCGAAATTACAAAAATATTATTAAACATGTATAGAAATATGCTTATTTAAAAGCCTTCATGTTAGGGCCTGCAGAACGTCGGGGCTCGGGGGCTCGAGCCCGCCCCTCACGATTTTGAAAAGTATGTTAAAGAAAAAAGGAAAGAGAGAGAGAGAAGAAAAACAAAAATTGTGAATTTGGGCCGAGTATTTCAAATTTGGCGCAAGGGGGCGGTAGAGAAGAAAACAGATATGTTCGCACATATGTTTTTACATTTATTTAAGCCCCTATTAAAATATGATATGTGTCCCTTTTTCTGTTACGAACGCCCCTGTTCCATTTTCATGGTGCCTTTAAAAAGATTGAGATCCCCTTTTCAGGTGCGAGCAATGCCCAATGTTCACCTTTGATAATTGCTCTTTTTACTTTGACATGACTGTGCTCTTTGTCTTTTCTACAAGTGTCATTTTCCTTTCTAATAAATTAGTGTTTCCTTTCAGTATAACTTGTGCCCTAAATTTAAAACGACTAAGAACAACTTTTCTTCACCCCCCCCCCTTAAAAGCTCAACCTCTATGCGCTCGCTAGCGTTTATATTTCATATAAGTTATTAAAGATATTGTGACGGTTTTAGCGTGAAATCGGGGAAGAGGGGGGGGGGGGGGGGGGTGGTTTGTTAGAAATCCCACCGCTGCCACCATTGTGGCGGTTTTGGCGTGAAATCGGGGAAGAGGGGGGGGGGGGGGTGGTTTGTTAGAAATCCCACCGCTGCCACCATTGTGGCGGTTTTGGCGTGAAATCGGGGAAGAGGGGGGGGGGGGGGTGGTTTGTTAGAAATCCCACCGCTGCCACCATTGTGACGGTTCTAGGGAATCGGGGAATTGAGGGGGGTGGTTAATATGCTTCCACCATTGTCCCAAAATCATCCCCATCGCTACATAAACTTTCTCCTGCTACCATTATAGCGAATTCAAGTAAAACAGGTCTGGAAAGAAGACTACATTCATAACCACTTTTATGTCAGTCTCTTATACCCTTAATTCTGACGGTTGCTGCCACCACCTAGTCTTAATCTGGAGCGCTAGGATCTCCAAAACAACACGGTTTGTGTGTTTACATTCACTCTGTAATCTGATACACTCTCACTTACATACACAGATTCCTAAGAAACCGGACCATGCGTCCTTCTACTAGTATACGCTTTAAGTCATTGTGACGTATGGCAATTGCTTCCTTTTGGGACGCACTGTCTCGTCCTTTCCCAATCTGTCTCTCGTCACGTGCAAGACGCACTGTCTCACTCTGGGAAAATCCTGTATTGATTTGGCCATTTCCACTCAAAGTTAGCTTCTAGAGTCTCAAACCACTTCACAATATCTTCCATCCTTTTATAGGTGAGTGTTATTCTCACCCCTGATACCGTAATTAAGTATCATTAAGTAGGAACTAATCATGTTTTTGTCTCTCTAACAAGCCTCACAACACCATTTAGACCATAATCATGTCCCATACATTCGTTTCTGTGTATCAAGTCTTCCACTCAGTCACTCACTAAATAACAAAAATAGTATCTTATTCCCTTTCACACTTCCGAGCGATATATAAGGCACGATGACCTGAGTCCGTTTGTCTGAAGTATACAGACGAAGTTTTGTGTTCCTGTTTAGTAATAAATCCTACAGTAAATTCTAAATCTACTATATATTTTGTACGGTATCATCAACAATGCATACTTATATAATACTAGGCAAACCAGACTAACAAGATTTGTAACTTGAAATCGATCTGAAGTCGAATAATGAATTTATTATTCACTAAGCCATTTCTAGGCAACTGTTCAACAACATAAGAACTGTAAAACTCTCAACAAGAATAGAAATACTTCCATGAACTTACTAACTTACTGATTGCTACTAGATATACATTAATTAATTATTGTAATAAATGTTTACTGCTTATATAATTTATACAGTATTTCTTAGCTTCATATTTACAGGATGTCAACACTTAATTGACTAGTATAGACTGCATACGATTTAAATAATGTACATGTATAAACTTACTGAACTTAGATAGAGGCTTTTCTAACGAACTTTACAAACCACCATGGCTATCAAACCAAAGTTAGCATTTCTTTCTAACTCCTATTACAAGTAACTCTATTCTGACCGACTACTAGTATTCTCGGTACTCCTACCCCTTGAAACAACTATCTACCTGCGCCCGACACCTTTGGCCAATGTGTCCCTATCGTCCCCATTCTACAAGAATGAAACATTTAAACCAATACACCCTTCCGACCAGGATTTCAAAAGTCTATCCACTCCTTTATTAAGTAACAAGCTAACACACTCTGTCGGTTAAACATTGTACCTATATAAATCCATCATCACTGTTATAAACTAGCCTCGAGTATTTATCTCCTAGTTATAACTTACTCCAGAATATACTTGTATAAGATTTGACTTTCTAAATTCAAAGATAACCGGCATTCCATTGAATTCGTCCCTTACTGTCTTAAGTTCGCACCTCTTAATTATGTAGTAAAGTAATAATTGCCTGATTTAGATAGGCTCGTAAATGCAGCTATTTAATTAATTAACTACGAGTGTACATATTCAACTGTCCACTATTCAATGTCATTCTATTAATATACATGTCATGCTATATACAATAATGAGTGCAATTCAAATGAGTAAGAAGGGGGGGGGAAGAAAAGAGACACTGTGTCCATGTCCAAATCTAAGGACACTGTGTCCTCCAAGACAAGCCCATGCATTGTCTATACATATAACGTTCTGTGTCCATTCCAGGTTGAAGGACACACTGTCCCTTCCAAGACAGGACGAAGAAGGAGAAAGGGGGGGGGGGGGGGGGGGGGAGTTACACTCATGTCTGTAATAAACTGTTATATATGCATTAAATAAATGTAGATAATAAACTATAGATATACGACAAAGTTGTTTCTCCAACTCTCTCGATCCTTTATACACTTTCTATACAATATCTATATACAATATCAAGTTCATTAAAACATCATTATACGATCTACGGAGTATCACGCCCTCTAGATAGGCGAATACATGTGTTATAAGTTTAAGCGTTATACAATATTAAATATATGAATTAAACTACGGAGGCACTGGTGACTTTCTGGCCTTATTAGGTCACGAAGGACCGAAGCCTTCCTTTCCAAATATTCATAGTCTAGGAGAAAATCAAGACAACAATACAATGTAATATTTCTTATCAAACATAGTTAAACTGGCCATAGAAATTAAACTAGAAATGGCTAGACTTGAGATATGACCGCATTTGGGACAGATTGTCAGTCTGCCCAACGACCTGAATCACACTCAATTTTATGTGTCCAAATTAATCAATTAGGACACCAAAGAGCAAAAATCTCTCTCTTCCAAAATAGGTTGACCAATTCTAGATTTATTCCTTAACAAAAATGGCAATATTATCTTCACAAAGAAGAAGATAATCACACAAAATAGACATTTCACATAAGAAAAACATCTTTCATGTATTTGTATAATGATAATGATATCTCTATAATAATTAAACTATAATCCCATGCCAATATTCATACACTTAAGGGAGACACTGTGTCCCTAAAACGATAATGGGACGTTCCGTCCCTCTAAAATAGGACGCACCGACCGTCCTAGACAAGTTCAAGGACGTTTCGTCCATTCACTACCGGTACTGGACATTCTGTCTTGCTTCCCCCCATCCAAACTATAACAAATATAGATGCCTATTTCCAACTTAATATATCACCATCAAAAATACTTCAAAACCTCTCTTCATATACACCACTCTGACCGCATTGATCCATAGAACAATAAAATATCCCTCTCCCTCTATCATTTTAGAACAATCCTAGTAAATTTGCATAAGTAAACATTGTATGAGTCACTATTTATATTCACCTTTCGCGTAATACCCTGCAAATAAAACTGTAGTCGCGTACTAGCCTGTAAAAAGCTGTCAGTCACGTACCTGGGTAACCCAGTAACCCACGCGCGGACTATTTATACTGGTTGGGTCGCGCATGGAAAAGAAAGCCGTACGCGCATATACAATCATTTAATTGGCTGCGCACCTTGGATCGCGCCTTAAACTAATGAATAATACATGAATATTAAGTTATCGATCAATAGTGGAATAAATTAAGCATTGTTGATAAACAAAGAGCACATGCTACTTGTAGACTAGTCTCCCGTTCAGAGCAATCCGTTAAAAACATGTCACAAATAAGTAACGACTATAAAAGACATTTTATATTTATAATGGTCACAATATTTACAAGTATTGAATATATAAAGAGAAAGAGTAAGAAAGAGAAAGATCATTTTCATATATCCGTCACACTATCCCCCTCTTTCCAAGTTGCTGACCCAGCAACCAGTAGCTGAATGCATATTTTCTTATTATTTACAGAATCTTTACACAATAACAAACAATATAATTAAGTATCTTCATTCTCAAAATATCTCTTTACATCTTAAGATAAATCCAATATCATCATCATTCAATTATGCTCTCCATATCTTAGCACAAGTGAATTTAGGAGAAATATGAATGGCATCAATTTGCCCTTCTAGTCCAGTTTCATTTCCATGAATCTCCAGCGGTGTAGTCATCGCAGATTCACCTTCTCATTCTATTTACTGAAATAGACAAACAAACAAGAATACTAAATATATATACATCATAATAATATCAAGTTGATTAACTGCATCTTTATCTACTGTTTCCAATTACAGAGATCATCCAGTCGACCACATTGTGTACAGGGCTGCCTCAAGATAGAGACCATCTGTGTTCATGTGGACTCGTCCTGCTCTGTGTTGAAGGGTAAGTCTATACTGACTAATTACTTCCAACCATCTAGCCAGCTGTCCTTCCAGGTTCTCGAAAGTCATGGCCATCTTAACGCTCCATGATCAGTCCGCACCAACACATCTTGTGCATAGAGATAATGCCAAAAGTGTTTGACAAACACAACAATAGCGAGCAACTCCCTTCTAGTTACACAGTAATTCTGCTCTGCTTTACTGAGGGTTCGACTAGCATACGCTACAACTCGCTCATGTCCATCATGCTCCTGGGATAAGACTGCTCCTATTCCATACTTACTAGCATCTGTATCTAGTATGTATTTCTGTCCAAGCTTGGGGTAAGCCAGAATCGGGGCGGTAGTGAGTATTTCCTGTAGTAGCTGGAATGCGGACTCACATTCGGGGGTCCAGAAAAAGGCACGATTTTTCTCGGTAAGAGCATGAAGTGGTTTTGCAGCATTTGCAAAGCTTTTGATGTATCGTCGATAGTACGATGCCAATCCAAGGAAACTTCTCACTTCAGTCTGAGTTTTTAGGCTGGAGCCAACTTTTGACTGTCTCAATTTTTATTGCCGGGTCAGTCCCTACACCTTTCTCAGATACCACATGTCCAAGATACAAGACCTCTTTCTGAAAAAGGTGACATTTCTTTGGTTTCAGTTTAAGCTTTGCCTCCCGTAGCCTCTGTAGTACGATTTTTGAGTCTTGCCAACACTTCTTCCATAGTAGGACCAAACTCAATCACGTCATCCAAGTAAACTACCCAAATCTTCCTCTGCAAACCATCTAACACTTTTTCCATAAGCCATTCAAAGGTAGAGGGGGCATTCCAGAGTCCAAATGGCATTACTTCAAATTGAAATAAATAATTCCAGACGTCGAGTCCTTTTTCTTCAGACTCATTTCCTTCACCATTTGCATGATCTCACCGATACTTGATCTCAACTCATCAATTTCCTTTCTCGTCTTTTTGTCCACAGGTTCTGACTTCACGGTATAGTGTGTACAGCACAAACAGGATGACTTGGATGAAATCTTTCACAGGGCTCCCTCAGCCTTATGAATGCCTCAGTCATCAATCCAGCCTGGATTGCATCATTTAGAGTGGCTGGATGAGAACGGAAAATTCCAGCTCTAATTTCCGAATCATCGATAGAGTCTGAGAAGTGAGCTCTTGCATCAGCCGTCAATTCAGGATATGCACAGCCAGACAACTCCTGGATAGCCCGACCAAATTCCTACAGTGACTCCTTAGGATGACGTTTCCTCATTTCCAACTTAAAGAGAAAGTTTCGAGCCTGGTCACCTGAACCAAACCTGCCATCAGGGTGGAACACGAGCTCCGTGTAAGTGAAGATGAGTCCTTGTGGAAGATTGTGCAACATGTTTAACGCTAATCCTTGTAAGCGAGTTGCCAAATACTGTCCAGCCTCCGCATCACTCCAGTTATTGAGACGCATACAGACATCAAAGTGTCTTCTATATTCCGACCAGGGGATTTTCCAGCAAACTTGCCCGGAAGTATTTCCTTCTCCGATTCGGTGTAAAGACACGTCTATGTTCCTCAGGAATGGCATTTCCATAAAAGCCATGTCTAGTACGATTTCTGGATCCTGGACATCCATTTCCAAGCGTCTTGGTTCCTGTTGGACACTCTGTACCCGTTGGACATCGTACGGACACAGCCAGCGTAATTCCAGACACTCCGTCCAGTCCATCAGGAACTTCACTTCTTGGATCCATTTTGTTTAAAAATTTATATGCCAACCAAGAATTTTTAAGTCACCAGTTAACCTCTTACAATGTTGTTTTTGTACAATTTAATTTAAGTGTACTCTTATTATTATTTGTACATATTATACTCTATTGAAAAATTGCACTCATAAGTTTAGAAGTTCATGATATCGATCTTGTCTGGTTTGCTCTAGTTTCTTAATTACTGTACGTCTACTACATCATAAAAATAACACTTGTTATTTCCTCTAAGTGATTAGCATCATTTACCACTAAAACAAGAACACAACTCATCTTAGAATTGCAGTTTATTGCAATTAAAAATGCTTCTAAATCCCACTGCTGCCACCATTGTGACGGTTTTAGCGTGAAATCGGGGAAGAGGGGGGGGGGGGGGTGGTTTGTTTAGAAATCCCACCGCTGCCACCATTGTGGCGGTTTTGGCGTGAAATCGGGGAAGAGGGGGGGGGGGTGGTTTGTTAGAAATCCCACCGCTGCCACCATTGTGGCGGTTTTGGCGTGAAATCGGGGAAGAGGGGGGGGGGGTGGTTTGTTAGAAATCCCACCGCTGCCACCATTGTGACGGTTCTAGGGAATCGGGGAATTGAGGGGGTGGTTAATATGCTTCCACCATTGTCCCAAAATCATCCCCATCGCTACATAAACTTTCTCCTGCTACCATTATAGCGAATTCAAGTAAAACAGGTCTGGAAAGAAGACTACATTCATAACCACTTTTATGTCAGTCTCTTATACCCTTAATTCTGACGGTTGCTGCCACCACCTAGTCTTAATCTGGAGCGCTAGGATCTCCAAAACAACACGGTTTGTGTGTTTACATTCACTCTGTAATCTGATACACTCTCACTTACATACACAGATTCCTAAGAAACCGGACCATGCGTCCTTCTACTAGTATACGCTTTAAGTCATTGTGACGTATGGCAATTGCTTCCTTTTGGGACGCACTGTCTCGTCCTTTCCCAATCTGTCTCTCGTCACGTGCAAGACGCACTGTCTCACTCTGGGAAAATCCTGTATTGATTTGGCCATTTCCACTCAAAGTTAGCTTCTAGAGTCTCAAACCACTTCACAATATCTTCCATCCTTTTATAGGTGAGTGTTATTCTCACCCCTGATACCGTAATTAAGTATCATTAAGTAGGAACTAATCATGTTTTTGTCTCTCTAACAAGCCTCACAACACCATTTAGACCATAATCATGTCCCATACATTCGTTTCTGTGTATCAAGTCTTCCACTCAGTCACTCACTAAATAACAAAAATAGTATCTTATTCCCTTTCACACTTCCGAGCGATATATAAGGCACGATGACCTGAGTCCGTTTGTCTGAAGTATACAGACGAAGTTTTGTGTTCCTGTTTAGTAATAAATCCTACAGTAAATTCTAAATCTACTATATATTTTGTACGGTATCATCAACAATGCATACTTATATAATACTAGGCAAACCAGACTAACAAGATTTGTAACTTGAAATCGATCTGAAGTCGAATAATGAATTTATTATTCACTAAGCCATTTCTAGGCAACTGTTCAACAACATAAGAACTGTAAAACTCTCAACAAGAATAGAAATACTTCCATGAACTTACTAACTTACTGATTGCTACTAGATATACATTAATTAATTATTGTAATAAATGTTTACTGCTTATATAATTTATACAGTATTTCTTAGCTTCATATTTACAGGATGTCAACACTTAATTGACTAGTATAGACTGCATACGATTTAAATAATGTACATGTATAAACTTACTGAACTTAGATAGAGGCTTTTCTAACGAACTTTACAAACCACCATGGCTATCAAACCAAAGTTAGCATTTCTTTCTAACTCCTATTACAAGTAACTCTATTCTGACCGACTACTAGTATTCTCGGTACTCCTACCCCTTGAAACAACTATCTACCTGCGCCCGACACCTTTGGCCAATGTGTCCCTATCGTCCCCATTCTACAAGAATGAAACATTTAAACCAATACACCCTTCCGACCAGGATTTCAAAAGTCTATCCACTCCTTTATTAAGTAACAAGCTAACACACTCTGTCGGTTAAACATTGTACCTATATAAATCCATCATCACTGTTATAAACTAGCCTCGAGTATTTATCTCCTAGTTATAACTTACTCCAGAATATACTTGTATAAGATTTGACTTTCTAAATTCAAAGATAACCGGCATTCCATTGAATTCGTCCCTTACTGTCTTAAGTTCGCACCTCTTAATTATGTAGTAAAGTAATAATTGCCTGATTTAGATAGGCTCGTAAATGCAGCTATTTAATTAATTAACTACGAGTGTACATATTCAACTGTCCACTATTCAATGTCATTCTATTAATATACATGTCATGCTATATACAATAATGAGTGCAATTCAAATGAGTAAGAAGGGGGGGGGGAAGAAAAGAGACACTGTGTCCATGTCCAAATCTAAGGACACTGTGTCCTCCAAGACAAGCCCATGCATTGTCTATACATATAACGTTCTGTGTCCATTCCAGGTTGAAGGACACACTGTCCCTTCCAAGACAGGACGAAGAAGGAGAAAGGGGGGGGGGGGGGGGGAGTTACACTCATGTCTGTAATAAACTGTTATATATGCATTAAATAAATGTAGATAATAAACTATAGATATACGACAAAGTTGTTTCTCCAACTCTCTCGATCCTTTATACACTTTCTATACAATATCTATATACAATATCAAGTTCATTAAAACATCATTATACGATCTACGGAGTATCACGCCCTCTAGATAGGCGAATACATGTGTTATAAGTTTAAGCGTTATACAATATTAAATATATGAATTAAACTACGGAGGCACTGGTGACTTTCTGGCCTTATTAGGTCACGAAGGACCGAAGCCTTCCTTTCCAAATATTCATAGTCTAGGAGAAAATCAAGACAACAATACAATGTAATATTTCTTATCAAACATAGTTAAACTGGCCATAGAAATTAAACTAGAAATGGCTAGACTTGAGATATGACCGCATTTGGGACAGATTGTCAGTCTGCCCAACGACCTGAATCACACTCAATTTTATGTGTCCAAATTAATCAATTAGGACACCAAAGAGCAAAAATCTCTCTCTTCCAAAATAGGTTGACCAATTCTAGATTTATTCCTTAACAAAAATGGCAATATTATCTTCACAAAGAAGAAGATAATCACACAAAATAGACATTTCACATAAGAAAAACATCTTTCATGTATTTGTATAATGATAATGATATCTCTATAATAATTAAACTATAATCCCATGCCAATATTCATACACTTAAGGGAGACACTGTGTCCCTAAAACGATAATGGGACGTTCCGTCCCTCTAAAATAGGACGCACCGACCGTCCTAGACAAGTTCAAGGACGTTTCGTCCATTCACTACCGGTACTGGACATTCTGTCTTGCTTCCCCCCATCCAAACTATAACAAATATAGATGCCTATTTCCAACTTAATATATCACCATCAAAAATACTTCAAAACCTCTCTTCATATACACCACTCTGACCGCATTGATCCATAGAACAATAAAATATCCCTCTCCCTCTATCATTTTAGAACAATCCTAGTAAATTTGCATAAGTAAACATTGTATGAGTCACTATTTATATTCACCTTTCGCGTAATACCCTGCAAATAAAACTGTAGTCGCGTACTAGCCTGTAAAAAGCTGTCAGTCACGTACCTGGGTAACCCAGTAACCCACGCGCGGACTATTTATACTGGTTGGGTCGCGCATGGAAAAGAAAGCCGTACGCGCATATACAATCATTTAATTGGCTGCGCACCTTGGATCGCGCCTTAAACTAATGAATAATACATGAATATTAAGTTATCGATCAATAGTGGAATAAATTAAGCATTGTTGATAAACAAAGAGCACATGCTACTTGTAGACTAGTCTCCCGTTCAGAGCAATCCGTTAAAAACATGTCACAAATAAGTAACGACTATAAAAGACATTTTATATTTATAATGGTCACAATATTTACAAGTATTGAATATATAAAGAGAAAGAGTAAGAAAGAGAAAGATCATTTTCATATATCCGTCACAATATGTTCAGTCATTGATTGTTAGAGTTGATCTTAAAACCCCCTCACGACTTGTGTTTTCCTCTTTATAAGATGAAAATGTTCGCACTACGACCTCTCAATTTTCCGAATTTGATGCTAAGCAGTTTCTGAAGAGAGAAACAAACTATCGAAATAATCCATCACTTTGTGGTTTCCCTTTGTCTGAGGTGCCTCCCCCCCCCCGAAAGAGCCCATTTTGTTGCCCCCCCCCCCAACAAAAAAGACGTATCATCTTTATGATCATCATCATCATATCACCACCACCACCACCACCATCTCGACGACGACCACCACCACCACCACCACCAACATCAACACCACCACTACCACCACCACCACCATAACCGCAGTGGCGGCCATCATCATGCATCGTCATTATCGTCAGCAGCATCCATTAAGAGATCTTAAATTATGGAGAGGGCGCAGTTAGCTCCACTTAACCCGTAACATACGAGTAGCAAGCAATATGTGCAGTCTACTTTAATTTATAATGTCAAACATATCAAATGATAAATGTCTATACATGCATGATGTATTTTTTCGAAATTCAATCTTGATATTCATGGAACTACTATAATAACTCTTAAACTTTGAATAATAGAATAAGATACATCATTTTCAAGTAAACCGAGGTCCGTACACATTGCATTTCTTTGTGGCAGGTACTTGTTCCCGATATCTTTTGAAGGGTGCGATCTTTTGGCCTGCGTACTAGTACGGTACTACGGATTACGTATAATTCAGTTGACTGTCTTTTCAACTGCAGTCACCATTGTTGCTAAGTGACGCTGCCGATACCGCTGCTAAATCGAAGGTTTGGATTGATTTGGACAATTTATTTCGCTGATAAAACGTAAGTTTTCACAATCTTTCCACTTTTTAAATGGACGTATGTGAACGAGAATCTTTAGAAGTTTAATTAAGCATTGTAATATGTATTTTACACTTAAAGATGATGAATATTCGTGAAAAACAAACATCGCGCTTGACTCCTGGTAGCGTTGCGTAGTCCCGTGAGCTTAACATTTTGTTAGCAAATCTGTCGCGCCCTCTGTGTGTTTCCAAATCCAAAGCTAATTAGGTCTAGCCTAGGCCTAGTCTTATAAGAATGACAGATTTCTTAAGGCGAGGCATATAATTTGATACCTTAAAAACACGTTAAGTGTTTAAGAATTGACGTCACCAATGAAAATAAGATTGTGGGTCTAGGCCTACTTTGTATTGAAATATTCCATTAAATTCAGTGAGAAATGATGACAAAAAAAATCAAAACAAAAGTCAACACTCAAAACTTTTTTTCAAAATCCCCTCAAAACACAGCAGTTTTATACAAATTTCAGTATGATGATTTGACTTCAATTTAAGTTAATTCCAAAATAGTTGTAAATATGCTAAAAGTGTTTTGATCGCACGTTGTAGTCAGTAATTACGTGTGTGCGACACAGTCACAGGTAATTCTGATTAATACGAATATGATTATGAGCCACGTCACGTGTGAATGGTAAGGTAATTGGTGCCTGATATCGCTGCTGCGGCATGCGGTTTGCGAATGGATGTCATGGGAGAGCTTGGGCGTCCAATGCTGGTTCAACCCCCTCATTTTGTTTATCAGTGTGCATGTGATCACGCTGATGAGTTTTTGCATGCATGTTTGTCACCATCCAAAAGTTGTAACTCGTATTTTATACCTTGAATACCAAAGCTTCTGGAAGAAAGCCGTCTCCAGCTGCCAAGCTTCCAGGTCTAACTTCAAGGGGGAAGTCCCAGCTTCTGGGCCTTGCACCATGGTCTTTTTACATCTGTATCTTGCTTGCTGGGTCATATCGGGATTATCATAATTGGAGTGTCTACTGGGAGAAGGGTGAATGATATTGCTCCTTCTTCCAGTGTTTATCAAGTTTTGCTTTAAAGTTGTTTTCCGAGGTTGAACCAGGGTCTGTCAGCGTCGTTAATGTGCATTTAATTTTAAGCTCCATTCTATAAAATCTTTCCAACTTTTCTCTCCCCTTCAGATTGCTACCCCAATATGCCGACTATTGTTGAGATAGTGGATGAAGAACCGCCTGTAGATCTGGCACCAGTCTTTGTCACAGAAGTCAAAACTAGTCCCACAGCGCCTGCTGGGAAAACTGGCAAACGAGTTTCCAGTGAGTCCACCGAAGCATCGGATGAGGTGGAGGCAGAGAACATTCTTGGGGAAGAGGTTGTGGATGGCTTGCTGCAGAGTGATGGGCCAGTCAGTGAAGGGCTAGAAGGAGGAGAAAGAGAGGGAAAAGGGGAACCGCAAGTGTTGAAGGTAAAAGAAAGATATCAGTCTAAAAGATAAGTCAAATATCCAGGTCCACCATCACATCTTTAATTCTGGTGAAGGCAAGAAGTAGAATATATGACATGTGCCTACCTGTATATATTTTGTGGACATTTTCTGGTGTAAATGCATGTCAGCAAGTTTTTGTTAACATTTCTTTTCAATCGGCATTCAAAGCCATGTTTCTTTCATTGTCAACCATTCAAATAATACCAAACTTCTCTCAAATATCTACTTCATGGTGTATAAAAACAAACAAACAAACAAACTTTAATTGTTCAATTTCCTCTGCATTTTTGACGTATAATTTTGTACACGTCCTCTCAGGAATACAGTTTTAGTATGAGAGTTACCCTGCTTAAATGAAATATATTTAATTTTAAGAAATGCACTTTCATGTTCTAGCTCTGTTTTTACTAGATCGTCTTTCCGTATCTGTCCTTCTATTAGGCCCAAGATGAACCAAGCAAGAAGGAAAGAAACAGAAAGGAGGAGAATGAAAAGGAGACAGACTCAAAGGTTCCTGAGGACGATGACAGATATCCAAGGTACAAAGTCTATATAGTCAAGAATTACTAACCCCCGAACAGAAAGAAAACAACATAAAACAAGGGAATGTTTGATCCATTAAATCAAGCCCACTCATGGGTGATTTTGTTGTTGTTGTGCAGCACAAGGCATCACTTTCATGTTAATGACTATTCTAACGTGTCATGGAAATTTATTCCGTCGTCATATGGTAGAGAGAAATATAAGTATGTATATTGAGTGTTTTTTTTTTAGTGCAGTGGACTCATCCAACATAACCGTAATTGCCCCAGTACATATAGGTTGCATATTTACTTTAAGTTTCATGTATTTATTGTTGTTGGTTATTTTGTAGAGTAGTGCAAGCTTTCCATTCATAAGATGTGTATTTTACTTCAATGAAGCCTGTGTTATTTATTATAATTATGTTATACTAAAAACAAGTAAAATGGTCTGAGTTTATAATTGTTTTTTCTTTAGATGAATGACTTGTGATTCTTTTTTTATGCAATTTTATTTTTAATGTACTATACTTGAACATGAGAGAAACAAGGTTTGTAACTAAATACACACTATAGGTGGAAAATGTATTACTATGTTCAGCTTGTTCACAAAACTATGTATCACTTGATTGTCAATTATTTATAATAATTTGTGTAATATCTTCCAAGTACCTTGACAATAAAGGAAGAAAACATCAGTTGATACAAAAGAGCAAATAAAATATTCTTGTGAGAGAAGTAACCTTTTCCTCCCCATATTTTGCTCTGTTTTCAGAATGACAGAGAAAGCGTTGAAGGCTATCTGCAAGCAACATGATCTGTACAGAACACCTGAACTCAATGATGTCCTCTATCTTCATTACAAAGGTATGGCAATACCCTCTCGAGTCAAAATATAATATTTAATACTACGGTAGTCAAAGAATAGTGAAAAACAGCACTTAAAGGTTTTTAAATCGTTTTTGACTCAATATATTTTTTATCTTCCATTTGTTCTAAATCCTTAGCCTAGAAAGATGTTTTTTGTGTCTGTGTCCCTCTCTTTTTCCATAAGAAAATATATATTTATAAGAAAAAATTGCGTAACTATTATTAATTATTATTATTATTTATATTGGTTTGCCTTCTTGTACTAATCACATTCCAGGGTACTTATATTTAGTTGCCATTATTCTTTGGTATCCCATCGGATGTTAATCATTTCAGTCGTTTGGTCCGACTGATGTAGAAGCATTCTTAAACTTTCTTTTCTGTAGGCTACACTCGCATCGAAGGACTTGACAAGTACACCGGACTGAAGGCCATCTACCTGGAGTGCAACGGGTTCCGCAAGATCGAGAACCTTGACCATCAGACGGAGCTGCGGTGCCTGTACCTGCAGCAGAACATCATCAGCAGGATTGACAACCTGCAGAACATGGTCCACCTGGACACACTGAATGTCTGCCACAACCATATCACCAGGATAGAGAATATTGGTAAGATGGTTGAAAGGTATAGACCAGTTTTGGAGACGCCCCCCTCTCAAAATATGAAATGGAAGCCCTTATCACCAATCATGTGAAAGAATATGTTTTGACTAAATGCGTGATGATACAAATTTTGCCGGGAAACTGCCTACTAATTGATATATTTGGTAAATTATCATATCTATCTGGCCTGGATAGATATAGGGTAGTCCCATAAACATCTTTCTGTGTACAGTGCTTGCAACTTTACCTAAGACTGGGCCAAATTTCTTATCGTTTTGATGATCCCAGAACCTTGCAGTAGACACCAATACTTATATGCTAGATGATCAACCTTTTCTGATCGATTCCACAACGTTTCTTTCACAATGCAATCACATGACCAGAACTGGTCTTTATCTTCAACCTTAACCTTGAATCATAAATCTCTTACTCATATCTCTCTTCCCTCCTCCCCAGCTTGTTTAACGAAGCTGAACACTCTTCAGATCACCCACAACAGACTGACCACGGCGGAAGACCTGATGGAACTCAAGGACTGCCCTAACCTCAGTGTTCTGGATCTCTCTCATAATCGCATCGACGACCCAAAGATCTTGGAGGTCTTTGCAGCCATGCCCGTTCTGGTAAGTCTCTTCTCTTCTTCTTCAAGATAATCTGCCTCCTTCAATACTGAAGATTCTTACAGATGCCGTATTTACCGGTACTCGGCTGATTGGGGTGAGCAGGTGGACCACTACACCGGGTTTTCCCCCTACTCTTATACGAATAGTGCAGTGGGTTCTTAACGTGCAAGGGTGGTGACTCGCCTCTACACATACATTAGAAGATAGTTGATTCAAAGTGGAGGGGGTGGGGAGGGGGGGGGGGGGACAAAGGGGTCAAGAACCTGCTTCATTAAACTTGTTATCAATAACAAGTATCATTAACTGCTACTGAAACCACACCATTCGATTGGCCGAGAGCAGATATGTCATAGAAATTTAGCATTTGTTATTGATAGCTTTATGAAATGGCCCGGATATTTTGCTGTTCCTAAATAAAGAATGATAATGATTGGGTCTTTTTTACCCAAAGTATCCACATCAGTTTTAATACTGCTCTTCCTGCGGGTCCTGTAATTATTATTACCCCAGCTGATTGGCTTTAACCCGTTTTGTTCATTACAGAGGGTGTTGAATCTGATGAACAACCCGGTCATTAAACGGATCAAGAATTACCGCAAGACACTCATTCGGGACGTGGTAAGTGTGATTATACTCTTAAAATTTAAATCTCAATGACATCTTCCATACACTTTACCAATGGCTTGTATATGAAAAGCCAAATGGGATGCTCAATCTTTATTAACTGCATCAACTAAAGTTGAACTGTGCAGATGTAGATTAACATTGTTATTTTTGGAAATATCAGAAAAAAATGTGGGCATCCCATCTGGTACTTCATATACAAGTCGTTCGTAAAGTCATGCGTAACTTTACGAACAGCTTTATGAAACAACCCCCTGGACTTAAAGCATTACCGGAAAATAGCAGTTTATTTCCGTAACTCTCTGTTTCCTGAACTGTACTGTTGGTTCTCCTATCAAGTCCTCTGTCTGCGAAGTGGGTATTAGGTATTAGGTTATGCACTTTCGGTTAGTTGACCATGAGATGGAGCTGTGCAATATAAACAGTATGCTAGGGCAGAAAGTTCATCAGTTCATACCTTTGCTTTAAGGTCAATTCCAAGGGTTATGGAATAACAATTAAAAGAACTGTCTACATTGAATACAAACATTACATACATTTTAATATCTTCATATTTACATTTGTATGTGTCATCCTCTCGTTAATTTCTGTTTTATTTTTCCTGCCTTTATTTTTGTTCTTCTAGAAAAACTTGACCTATCTTGATAACAGGCCTGTATTCCTGAAAGAAAAATTATAAGCGTTACGGGATGAAATTTCTAAAGAATTGTCTACATTGAATAAAGAACATTATAGATATTTTCATCATTATGTGTCATCCTCTCTCTAATTTTGTTATTATTTTTCCTGCCTTTATTTTTGTTCTTCTAGAAAAACTTGACCTATCTGGATGACAGACCTGTATTCCCAAAAGAGAAAGCTTGTACCCTAGCATGGTAAGTACATGTAGCAGAGTGGAAAAAACTTTTCTGTTTGTGCGACCTCTTTCAGGATTTGGTGTTTTGTATAAAGTGGGATTTACCCACAATAGTATTTAAAGGGATCGTTTAACAATGTTAAATCTGAGATGCACGGCCCTACGTGTTAGCAGTGTCTGTGATATGGTGTAATATTAATGCCCTAAAAAAATACACTCCACTCTATATTTTGTTGTATTGCATGATAATGATTTTCATACATGTTTTGTCTGTCAATTTCTTGTCATCATTTTAGTGGCAGCGGCTTTCAAATGTTTTGTTGTACTGGGCCCTGATGCACAAAACTTACCATTGATGGTAATTTTGCCATCAATGGTAACTACCATGGAACCCTTGATTTTGATTGGCTGTTGAGCCCTGTTACCATGGTAGTTACCATTGATGGCAAGGTTACCATCAACGGTAAGTTTTATGCAAACGGCCCCTGATGATGATTTTCATCATTTATTGTTTTGTTTGCTAGGTGGGAAGGAGGTCGCGAGGCGGAGAAAGCCGAGAGAGATCGTTGGATCAACAAGGAGAGACAGAAGATCTTAGACAGTGTAGAAGGTAGGCTGCGTTCAGATAAGATGCGCCTAAACAGCGTTTGTTGTTGTTGCGATGCCGTTAAAGTGTTATACGCTTCACATTTCTGTATCTAAACACAGAGCACGGTGATTACGCGTAAGACCGTTGTTGTCCGCAGTTTCCATTCATGAAACATTTTTTTTAACAATTTTTTTGGGGGAGCGGTTTAGTGTGCCATCTCAGAAGGAATCTTCAGATGTACTCATGAGTTCTGGGGGGCGTTTCACAAAACTTGACATCGGTGACAAATAACAGTTGTTGTTATAAGCTACTGAAATCCTTGCTTCTGATTGGTTATCAGCAGATTTGTCACTGATTTTTGTCATTTGTCATTGAAAAAAGGCTTTGTGAAACAGGCCCTTGGTACTCAACTCTTTATATTCCACACAAATAATGACCCTGTGCCATGTTGTATTCGTCATGGGATAGATTTTACAAATGCCTTAAGAATTGTTAAAACTGTTTCCAGTGCAAGATCAATCTCTACCAGTGTTAAAAGGGTGCATCATGGAGCTATAAGACTGAAAATGGACGGTCATTTTGCAAAGCCACTGTGCGATCCATGCCTGATAATTACCCGATTTAAATCGGTTTCCCGATTTTTTCCCGATTTTTTGGTTCTTAATTTTTTTTTTTACCTGATTTCTTTTTTTGCTTCCCGATTTTCCCCTATTTACTCCATTCTTCTCTATTCTTCCCTACCTTTCCCAGTTTTCTTACTCAAAAGGGGGGGGGGGGGGCATGTTGTTAGATGCCAATTGTTTTCCCCGCGAGTCCCCTTCTTTCTTTCTTTACGTACGGGGCTCGTGGTTGAGGGGAAAAAAAAATTTAGTGCTCACTATCACCCCTGGCAATCCCTCCATCAATTGGTGCCTATTGTTTTGTGCAGAGTTGTACGTTCAGCAAATGTGTGACCAAGCAGAGAGGCAAAAAAAGCAACCAAAGTATTAGCCATATTTCTATTAAATCTTGCAATTTTTATCACACTAGTTCACTTAATACACATTTTTTTCTCCAAACTATGAAGGAGTGCAATATAAGATTAATTGTGGCCAATTTAATGAGGAAGACTGATTAATTTATAAAATAAGAACACCTGAGCACTGTCTAATGAAGAGTATGTTGCGATTGATTGTAATCAACTGCGAGTCCTCTGATCAATCACAAGTTTGCAGTCTCCTATCTCTTATGTACATAGTTAATAAGTTGTGTTTAATATCAACTGTTTTTAAAGTGAACCAGTAACATTGTTGAAGGTTGATGAAAAAATGTGTAATTTTTTGTATGAAATGTAACTTATTATATAGCTTCTACTGTACTTATCCTCTAACATGCAACAAATCTTGAAAAATTCTCAAACCATAAAGATATTTCCCAATTTGTATCATTAATAATGGTCTGTTTTCATTCAAACTTTCTGAGTATCTTTAATTGTACACCTAGCATTGAAGTCATTACCTTAGCACCATTTTATCTCATCTAAACAATGTAACCAAGTCCCTTTCAGAGGGGGGTCCTGAACTGCAAATGTAATTCTTTAACTATGATTGTAATTTGTTTTCATTTCTAATTTTATAGCTCTTGCTGCCATTAGAAGGAGAAATAAAGAGTAGAGGAAGACTGAAGAATTTTAAAATAAGATAAATCTTTTGCCAATTTGAGGAGGGAAGACTGATTAATTCAGGAAATAACAAAACCATAACTGCTATTAGTTAAGGAGAGATTTAGATAATTGCTTTAAATGATTTCTAACTTGTTTTTATTTCTGTTTTCATAGCTCTCGCTTCTATCAGAAGGAGAAACATAGAGAAGAGGAAAGAAAGAGAAGCCAAAGAGTTAGAAGAGGTATGATTATTTATCTAGATAAAAATGTATCATTATACGTAAGGACCTGGGAGTGTTTCACAAAGACTATGATCGACTTTAAGTAGTAATTAACAACAAGAATTTTGTTTAGCCATGTCTAACGGCTCGTTCAGATATGACGCAAGAAAACTGCATACAAAATAAAGTGTAATATACTTCACATTTCTGTACGTTTTAAAACAGAGCTCAGTGAAAAACCGCAGATGTGTTTTGCACAGTTAATTGCCATTCGTTTGCACGTAAACAAAAACAGCGGTTTACATATTGTATCTAAACGAGCCTCCAGAGATCACTATCATTTGATTTTACGTTTCTTTCAGCAGGTCCTGACTTCAAGAGATGTATGTTTTAAAACAGAGCTCAGTGCAAAAAGGGCAAGTTGTGTATTGTGCGCAACTACCATTCATTTACACGTAAAAAAACAGCGGTGGCTTTTTTCCGGTTTATACGTTGTATCTGAACGAGCCGTTTGCTTTTTACGTTTCTTTCAGCATGGTCCTGACTTCAAGAGAGAGATCCCTGATCCCGAGACCTTCATCCACCAACCCCCTGAAGATGAAGAGCTCTTTACGTTCAACATTGAGAAACCATCCAGTCAGCAGAAAGCAGGTAAGAAAACAACATTATATCAATCTGCAGAGCTGCCAATCATTACGCTTTTCCCGGACTTATTTTTTTTTTCTCCCAATTTACGGTAGTACGTTTTTTTCATAAACTACTCTTTAAAAAATATTTATTTATTTAAAATTTTGATCACTACTTCAATAGTAAACGAAAAAGCGAAAGGCGTAAATATTCTCCAAAAGAATGAAAAACTGATAATACAAAAAAAAAAAAAAAAAATCTATTTCAGCTCCTAATAGGGAAATATCAGCATGAAGAGTTACCATTTTTACATTGGAAGGGTGTCACGTGCGGTTATAAGTTTCGTTTTAATGAACTCCTTTGTTTTGCTTGAAATAGTCTTTTTGCCATCATGGTTACTTTTTTGGTTGCACAAGATGGCAGCTCTGAATCTGTAGGACTGAATTGAAAATATATGGAGATCTATTTAATTTGGATGTAGAGAAACCAACTATTGAGCAGAAAGATGTTATATAATAGCAGTATGAACATCGACAACCACAACAACACCATCACATTAATGGCAACATCATTAACAACAACATCTCAATGAAAACAGCAAATAAAATCACCAATAAGTAATCAAATTATGAGTTTTCAATAATAAGCATTTTGGATTGCAGAGGTACATTATAAGTTTATTTATTACATTGGATAAACAGGTAGCACCTTCGACAGCAGAAGGGATGAACGTGAAGTCTCCAAGATCGCCAAAATTCCCTTCATCCGAGCAAGAAACTAAGAGTGGATAGCATCATGCACTATCTGCTATCGGAGATCATATAGCAACAAACCACCACTCAATAAACAAGGGCAACACTATGAACAGGGACGGGAGCCAACATATTCTCTTGAACATATTCAAGCCTATTCTCTCGCAGCTGTCTAAGCGCCATCTACGACGGCTTCAGTCTGACAAAGAACGCTGTTCGCGTTTGAAAGATTGTTTTATTTTTATAATGAATTGTGTAAAAAGAATTTTCCAACCATGTTATTTATTTATTTATTTCTTATTTTTTGGTTTAGCTTCAGTCAGCCCTCGAGCAGCTTGGTCTGATCAACCAACATCTTCAGAGGATATCGATGAAGGAAAGATTAACATTGATGTAAGTATAAAGAGATCAGGGGGGTGTTTCATAAAGCTGTTCGTAAAATTACGCATGACTTTATGAGCGACTTGAATATGAAGTGCCAGATAGGATGCCCAAAGTTTTTGCAAAGTTTTTAACAAAGTGTGACTTTATTTCCAATAACCGCAATTAAATTATAGCAAAAAATATACTTTTCATTAAAATGATTGTTACAATACAAATGTGAATCTACATCTTCACAGTTCAACTTAAGTTGATGCAGTTAAAAAGATTGAGCATCCCATTTGGCTTTTCATATATAAGTTATTTGTAAAGTCATGCGTAACTTTACGAACAGCTTTATGAAACACCCCCCCCCCCGGCCCCTTTTCATAAAACCCATTACTGCCAACGATTCCTTATTTTTGAGGAATACAGTGTAATTCCTATTTTTCCTCTTCAGTAGGTTATTTAGTTGTATTTCATTGTTGTTTGTTGTTCGTTTGTTTGTTTTAGTAGACTGCTAAGGAAGTAAGCTTGTAAGTAAGCAGTCAGGGGACCGATGGCTTTAAGTCCTCTCCAAGGGACTTGGTAATGAGGGTTAATGCCTTTCCAATGGGCACTAGCACATTGACTTGGTTTTGAACCCGGGACCTCCCGGTTACTAGACCATTGTTCTACCACTGAGCCACTTATTCATTGTATGAATGTCTCTTGCCCTAGCTTCAAGGGAAAGAGACCCTCTATCAGAGTCCTCTTGTTTTCTAAAAACCACTGTATAAAGTAATAGTCTCAGGAGATTCCTATTTTTAGGGGCATTGAAAGGTTGGCAGGTGTGAAACCTTTTATCAATAACAAATGCTGCATTTCTATAACAAATTAGCTCACAGCCAATCAAATGCACCAGTTTCAGAACATTAATTGTAGCTGCTTTCACATTTTCCATAGATCAATTCAAAAGAATATGAAGTCATTTGGTAGCTGTCACTAATCTACACAAAATGTGATACTAACCTCCAAAATACAAAAACTGACTCAAGTGCGAACATTTCGGATTAGGAGATGTATTTTTCAAATTTTTAAACATCCTCCAGTCATTCTTCTTCTCATACCAACAATTTTTTTGGCAGGGTGATTATTATGCATGGAATTCTAATCTTTCTCATTGCAGGATCTTCCCGACCTGGAGGACATCGATGAAGACGAGATGATGTGGGCCAGAAAATCACAAATGTAAGCTTTAGAATGTATTAAGAAAAAATATGAAATTAAATGGTTTACGTGAAAACATGCTGTTTAGTGTGGATTTTCTGTTTATTAGATTTTAAAATTTCACTGTATTTCATTGTATGCTGCACAAAGAAATATTCACATCAATTGGTGCCTTTTGACCATGCAGAGAGGCGAAGAAAGTACCCAAAGTGTTTTTAAACCCTGCCTTAATGTATAGAGTGATGAACTCCATGACAATACTTTTGACACTGGTATAGATTAATCTTGCCCTGGAAACAGTGGAATAATCTGTTGCACAAAGAGAGATTATTTGTGTGGCCTGCATGTTTAACCTGTTGACTACTGAGTTCTCTAATCCCCATAGGCTTAATACAGGGAATGAGGTTCCAGTAGGCAAAGGATTAAGAGATGTAGTTAAGCCAGATTGGCTTTAAAACTCCACTGTACTACTTGTAGCTAGTTGCTCCCTCTATATAGAAAACAATGCCTAATCGGTGACCATTGGTCCCCCATGATCTTCTTTTTCTTATGTTAATTGAGAGCTGAGTTGATGAGATAACCACCTGTCACTGACCACCCTGTGTGGTCTCATCCCTCCTGGCCAAACTAGTACAGCCAGCCTTTAAAGAATACAGGCCACTACCTTGAAGGAAGATTGATTGAACAGTCTTGAATGTTTGTTGGTGATAATAGATTTATCCCCTTTTGGGCCCTTTCTCTCTCATCAGAAACTACTCATTGAAGACATTACTCCAACCAAGCAAACAGTTTCCGTAGCAACGGATGACAGCAAACGCTCCTCATCAAGTCGTATTCTTATCGAAGAGTTCGAACCAGTCAAGAGTGAAGTAAGCCGGCCGACAGGGAGAGGGGATGCTATGGTGTCCCCAACGAGTATGATTGAAGATATCACATTATCCGAAGGCCCTGCTAAAGAGGTAGGTTGATGAATTGTTCTTCAGTCCTTTGTAAAATTCTTTGTTGTCGTTCACACATAACTTTCATTTAAAACCTATACAGGTATAAGATAATATTTTTCTACTTATACCTATGTGAGGTCCCCATATATGATTATTATTGTAAGTGTTTCATTAATAAGATGTAACGTGTCGAAAGGTGTCGTAAAGAAATAAGTATCTTTACATGATTTCACAGAATTCATAGAATGATGCATGCCAAGAAACTATGCATGGACCTGTCTTGCGAGGTTAAATCAGGCCCGACACTAACATGCACTCCGGACATATTGGCGCCCTATAATTCTAAGTCCTGACCCCCCCCCCCCCCCCCCCCCCCCCCCCCCCCCAAAAAAAAAAAAAAAAAATAAAAAAAAAAAAATTGTTTTTAAATAAGGCTCATGCTTATATACTGAAACAAGCTCAATCTGGACCTTAACCCATTAGCAACTAGACCGCCCAACAAACGCCCCTCCTTTTACTCACTGGATCGCCTGAAACTGCCCGTTCGTTTTCAGCGCGCTATAGTATCCGTTCTAGGGTCTACCGTGATAATGTTATACGTGCGTAATCCTTATGATGTCTACAGTAGGATTCTGCATAGAAAAATAGCGCATGTTTCATATCATTCAGAACAATGTCAAAATGTTGAAAAGGCGCGATAGCTCAGTCGGTAGAGCAGTGATCTCGCAATCTGGTGACCTGGGTTTGAAACCAAGTCAATGCGCTAGTGCCCTTTGGTAAGGAATTAATCCTTATTACCAGAACCTTCGGAGAGGATCTAAAGCCGTCACCCATCTGGTTGCTTACAAGCATTTTTGCTTTCTTAGCAGTCAGGTAATATAACCATGCACCATCAACATCACCACCATCAACTATGTAATACTATTACAACATCTTCCAGTGAGTAAAAGGTCCTTCTTACAAATTCTCTAGTTGCTAATGGGTTAATACCATGCCAATTTTTTTTTCTTCTCTCAACAGGAGAAAAGCTTTGATCAACTCAAGGCAGAGTTCAGCGACATGGAGACGAGGTTGCCGAGAAGCTGGCAGCTGAAAGAGCAGTTCAGTGCTGCACCCAGAGGCTCCCTGGGGGAGGAGGTTGCCACATCAGTGCAAGAAGCTGCACCAAGCAGACCTCTTGTGGAGGAGCTGGGGCCTGTGAGTGATGGTGCAGCGAGGGGCTCACTGGGGCAGGAGGAGGCCGATGAGGAGAGTGAAATGATCAAAGAGAGAAAAGGAGATGAATACCTCACTTCTGAACAAGGTTTGTATTTTGTCATTGAAGGTTTTTTTTTTACTCTCGCAAACAATGCCTCCTGTTCATCCACGCGTGGACACATACCACACAAAAATGATACCAAATGATTTGGGATAAAACACTCTTTCATAAGATGTATAATAATTTACTTTTCATAGATGATTTTTAAAATAATTAGCAATTTTCTTGTTGTAAACTTGTTTTTGACTAACATTGTACTGGAAAAAGGAAAGGAGAAAAAAAAGGCATGTTTCTTAAATAATTTTATGTGTACCGGTAATTGAATTGGAACTACATGGAACAAAGGTCCCTCATGTATTCACCTAGCTTTAGGCTATAAGTATATAGAAATGTGAAATGTGCCTAGTACAATTTTCATTTGACAGTCATGTGGAAGACGAACATTTGACTTTAGGGAATTAGTAATCTTTTTTTTCAGATACAAACCAAAAAAGTATCGGGTATATCGTATTCGTAAGATTTTTTGAAGTACATATGACAGTACAATTTTTCCTCAATAAAGTACGATTTCCCATCCCCCCCCCCCCCCAAAGAAAATGTTTATATTGTCCGATTTTGACTCTCTGTTCATTGCTACAACTTAATCTGATGCGAGGAAAACGAAAAGCTTTAGTATGTCTGTATCGGTTGCTATACTCTTTGGGTTTACAATGTTTTTCCTTTTCTCTTTAATTAATTGAATCATGCAGAGAAGCAGAAGGAGATTGAGCAGAAGATTTGGGAGCTGGCAGCCAACGCAGGATCGACATTGGACAGGAATGAGACGGGCGGTCTCAACAGCGAACTTATGAGAACACTCAGGTCAAAATACCAGGGCATGGGGCCTTAAGGTGTCACCATTGATAAGAGGCTGCAGGCCGAGTCTGTCCAGGTACTGGCTCTATTACCAAGATAGCATTGTTTTTAATCTGGGGCCCATTTTTTTTAAAGATTTGATATTAATCGCAGCTTATTTGCGATTGATTCAAATCGCAACTATGAACATAAGAGATAGGAGACTGCAAACTTGCGATTTATTAGAGGACTTGCGATTGATTTGGATCAATCTGAACTCTTTGTAAGAGGGCCCAGGTATAGATTTTGAAAGACATTAAAGATAGATGAAAGATACTGCAAGATATTGAAGATACACATCAGTGACAGCAGACGTTGGTATCACTGGTTCAGGTTCCGGAACCAAGTCTGAACCTTTAGGATGTGTGTCCCCATGGAAGAGTGCTCCAGAAATCAGAATGTCAGCATGCATTAATTTGTACCAGTGGTGAAGAGACTGTAATCCAGTACCTTGGGGGGGGGGGGGGGGGGGGGGGGGGGGGGGGGGGTTCACAAAGACTAAGATCAACTTTAAGTTGGACTTAACTATGGCAGGCCATTCATGCTTCTGGTTGTTCTCACCATTGGTCTCGTAATTATGATCTTTAGATAATATTTGTTTCCTTCAATAATGAACTATCAAAAAATGTAAATTCTATAGATATGTGACCATGATGTGTATGTCCCTTGAGAGACCATTGCCAGTAAATGGTGAGAGAAAACAGTTACCGGTAGTTAAGTCCAACTTTAAGTCAATCTTAGTCTTTGTGAAACACCCCCCAGGACATGAATCTTTAGGTTGTGGTACTAGATGGAGTATATTGGCAAAGTCTCTCACTTTGGAATATCTTCTGTATTGAGAGCATAGTCTCTGAAGGATTCTTGTGACTTGCTTCAGTAACTTGCAATGCTGGAATGGAAAGGGCAAGCTGCATGTACAGTCAAACCTGTATATAGGGACCGCCCAAGGGAAACACAAAAAGTGCATTTTGTAGACAGGTGGTCTTTGTAGACAGGTTCCTTTAGTACATGTTTCAATGAGAAACCATTTACAAGGGAAACAAATAATGTGGTCTTTGTAGACAGGTTGTCACTAAAGCAGGTTTGACTGTATATAACCCTTGAAAGAGAATGTGCCGAGCAAATATCTGATAGAAACGGCACCACAGACAGCTTTGACAATAGGCCTCGCTTCATCAGCTCGAGTTACCTGCCAAATAACCAGCTATTTTAACTACCCCGATTGCAAATTATCCATCTAATTTACGTCTTTATCAGCCCGCAGTTGCAATTAGCAGAATATTTGGTTGAGAAAATATCCCAAGAAATATTGGTCTTGTTATTTCCCAAATAGCGGGCTAATTTGCACCCATCCGAGCTAGTTTGTGATATTCCGAGTCTGAAAATAGCGGGTTATTTGGCAAACTCAAGCTAATGAAGGCAGGGTAAGTGATGCCTTGATACGGGAGAGTATTTTCTTTTGAAAGTAGTGTCGGAGTGGGATTTCAAAATATGATTTGCTCTGAAATTGACCTTGACCTATTGACCCTGCTGACCTCAACTGACATTCCTGAAAATACACTCCATGAAGAAACTCTCCAATGTTTTAAATTAAATGTAACTTGAAAAATGCCACCAAAAAGATATATCCCTCTGCCACATTCCATTATATATCAGTGGATAAATATACAGAAGACTTCAAGATCATTAACTGTTTTCCAGTACTAGATTAATCTATACCAGTGATAAAAGGGTTGTCATGGAACTACTCAAGAGTGCGGATGAGTTATCTGCAAAGCCATTGTTGCACAAAGCAATCCTTCCACCAATTGGTGCATATTGTTTTGTGCAAAATTGTATGTTTGGCAAACAAGCGAATGTGCCGAGAGACGAGGAGAGCAACCAAAGTGTTAAATGAGGCTTGTTTCACCAATTATCTATTCCCCCCTCAATGGCGAATCCCAAAATAATATTTCTCATCCTAAACAAAGGGCAGTGGGGAAACAGTAAATATCTTTGTCATCAATTGGTGCTTAAAGCTAGCTCTCTAGAGTTGCTACTAAAACTAAGACTTTCCCTGTTTCCTTAAAGCCCCACTGTTCTACTTGTAGCTACTTGCATTGCTCCCTCTATATAGAAAACTTTTTCTTATGTTAGTTGAGAGCTGAGTTAATGAGATAGCCACCTGTCAGTGACCTCGCTGTGTGGTCTAATTCCTTCTGGCCCAGTAGTATTGACGGTCTTTAAAACATGATTATCTCATTTTGACATCAGAGGGATTTGGTAATCGGAATGCACAACATGAATTTTCTCTTTCCATCCCAGTATCGATTCAAGCTACACGTATGTATTCAGATGTGTGAAAATGTACACTTTACATTAGTTCATTACAGTCCATGGTAGCATTCCACGAAGCGGTCTTAAGTACAAATTGGCAGACAACTCTTTGAAGTGCGTGTATTTAATTTAACACATAGTTCAATAGGATATCAGTGAACTTGTACTTTGTGACGGTCTCGTGAAATTACCCTTGTTTACTTTATGTATAACATTTTCTGATACTTGTTGAGAAAATGCTTTTTTCCTAGCAAAATTAACATATTTGTGCATGTCAATATCATAATTACTTTGTGTGTATTATTGTTTACATCATATTTATCAAATGAAATGATTAAGATTTTATTATGTGTATAGTGTAATATATGCAAAATTGACATATTTGTGTATGTCAATATCAGGCAGATTACTTTGTGTGTATTATTATTTACATCATATTTATCAAATGGAAATGATTAAGATTGTATTATGTGTATATAGCATTGGATAACATCATCTTTATACTCTGTCTGTTGCAGGATAACAGAAACTGTTCTTTATATAAAAATTTGCCTTGAAATAAAAAGTGTTTTTGAAGATTAGAAAACTATATTTTGTATCATTATTCATACTCTGTACATATATGTCTCAGGTATCTTAACCATTGCTAGTGGCATGACAATATGCATCTTGAATGCACAAGGCACAATAGTTTGAATTTAAATTTAAGTTCTTATCTGAATGAAAGTTTAATTAATATTAAGCCTTATCAAGACAATAAACATATTTAACAAATCCATTTCGTATGAAGTTGGATCTACGTCTGTGTGAAAAAAAATGATCTTCAACATTTATAAATTGCACATTGCTGACGCAACTTCATGCAAGGATCATTTGCTAAACTACGTAACTTACTACAGTATAAGAAATACATTACATACATTTGATAGAAATACACACTGTTGAATATAAAGTTGGAATAGTTTGTCTTTACCTGGGGCCTGTTTCATAATGCTTGTTATCAAGAACAAATGATAGATTTCTATGACAAATTCGCTGTCGGCCAATCAAATGCCACGATTTTGGTAGCTTATAACAGTAATTGTAACTTGTTATTGATCACAAGTTTTATGAAACGGGGTCCAGCTTCATCAAATGGTTTGACAATAATTACGATTAATTCTTGATGTGTAAAGTTTACATCTTCTCTTAGAACTGTATTGATCAATCTAAAAAATCACAGAGTTGGGTCACTAAATCTGTGACAAGATTTAAACTGTATCTATCGAGCATAAATCGTTTTGTCACACTCATTTCATGAAAAGAGGTAAAGAAAGATTATTCCAACCATGTATATGTTAACCTAAAGCCTCGGGCACAAATCCTATTACGAACTGCTACGAACGATTTTCAGACAATGGAAATTCGGGAAGACAATGGAAAAACAGGGAGATTCGTACGAAATTATCGTTCGTTCAAACCTTTGTGACCGTAGCATTAGTGGTGTGCGTTTGTGGTCTAATTTGATAACCGTGACTGTCATAGAAACAAGGTACACAAAGTCATATTATTTTTTAACATAGGAATTTTTTAATTGACATTGCTTCACTATTTAAAACAAACATCACAATACTTTAAGTTTGGCCCTTCTGGCAGACCACCATAGCATTAGTAACAACAATGAGTGAGTTAGCAGACGGGTTTTGTCTCGTTTTGTTATAAGTTAACATTACGTGTTGCACGATAATATAAATTCAGTATTTATAATCCAGTTCTTTTCCAGTAACCCTTTGTTTATAGGCAATAGAAAACGGCTAATTGATATCTGTAACAACTCTCTACATCCTAGCGATAATACACAGCTAACATACAACCTATTCACTATAGTATACCTCTTTAATTTTTTTTCAATTTTTCTCCAATTTTTCTTTCGTCAAAAGTGCGCGATAAGACTCAATGGTAAATACAGATGAAGTGAGAAAAGAAGTCCATATATCAACAGTGAAACGTTTTCAGGCAGAACAAAAAAAAATCGACATGAAATGTTTATGAACAATATACATACATATTCCTTAATGTATAACTTGGTTTCTTTTTGTAATATATATATTTATATATCACAACGATGTTGGTCTTTTAAAAATTAAAGTCAAATGATACATACTGACTATATTGCAATGTACTGTAAGTAAGCAAGCTATATACTGTGTAAACCTATCCTTGTCGTTAGTTGGTCTCCGGCAAGGAAAGGGTTAAATAGCATTTCCTAACGACTACATCTAGATAGCGACTACTAGAGACTACCACATACAACACTAACTTTACCACGGTACACTATGGCAGTCCAGCACATCATATGATACATTTATGTACATCGTTACACAGCATTAGTCAATTAATAAATAAGAATTGCAGTTGCAAAAGGATTCTAATGCCACTGGTCATTATTCACACCACGCTGCAGGCTGCATGGTGATGCACAGCCTTGTGAGCTAGCTTTTTTCCCCCAAATCAGGCTTAATTGGAGATAACCCCTTTTAGCGCTGGTGAGGAGTAACAACCATGTGGCATTAAAGCCTTTATGTAACTCAACTCTTTTTCTTTTTGTTATCACGTGTCTCAAATGCTTTATCTTGCGTCTATATATAGATATATCTTTAGTGCTATTAAAATAAGACTTGTAATAATACAGAACAAAAGCAAGAACGTAATAAACGAAAGTTTCTAAAAGTTAAACTTAATTGCAAGAATGGTGACAAAATAAACGACACATTTAGTTCCATTCTGTAAAATGTGCAGCCATTGGAAATCTCATTAATGGCTCAACTAGAGCCACACATCATTCTACTTCTTTCCTAGTATCACACATGCTGATAGATCACTGTCATGAATAATAAATTACCTTCAAATAGAAGTGTGTTGTTGATATTGATACGCCGGGAAATACGTCTTGGTAACATCATGAACTGGTATTTTCCTGATTTTAAATGGTTTTAATAACGTTCAAAGATAATTCCAATCTCATCTTAAATTACAACTGTTACCTTATTTTATAATATGTCAGTCACTGTTATACATGCAATTGCTGAACTTTGAATTAATTACTTGGTCATCAGTTAACTCGACAGCTGTTAAACCGCTACAAAGACATTTCTAACCTTAGACCCTTTAGAAAAATTATACATTATCTAACATTTATACCAATGCAATATTAAATAATACTTTCCTCCAGCCCTCTCTCGCCCACGTTCACACTCAAATGCCCATTCACATTACCCATGATCCATCACGAGCTCACTCACATTCAAACGACATTAAAGTTAGTAGTTACATTATTCATATCCGTTCGGTATAAATAAGCGATAAGTCGGGTGAAGGTATATACACATATCAATCAGGTTGCATGCAAAAAAAAGCAAAATACAAACTACATGTAAGAATATCCACAGAAGAATATGCCCTTACACAAAACATAAAGCACTTTTAACATACACCGTTTTAACAACGATTAATGTTGATATACCGAATGCGAATTCTAATCGTAACGGAACTTAACACTTGAGGCCGTGCTGAATGTTACATCGCTATTCCTAAACGATAGAGAGTACCAAAGTGTGACGTCATAATAGCCAAGCTGTCAAGGTTGCATGCTGGGTCCAAACAATTTTGCGCTGAACAACGTGGCGGCGATCACCAAACACTGAATTTGCCTTGCTCCAGTCCGTTGCTTGGATGATTTCGCAGTGAACCTCATGCGCAGGCTCTGTTGTTTGGAACCATTCATCGACGACAAATTGCGCGAACATGGCGTTAGCACTTCAGTACTCTTTAGACCCTCGTTATGGCAAGCTTTGGTCATTAATACGGTTATGAAAAAATAAAAATAAAAAACGGAAATAAAAATGAAATCGAAGACGGAAGTACGGTGATAGGTATAAAAAGTAAAATATAAACATAAAACACAATATGAGACGCTTAAAACAACGGAAGCAACTTGCGTGGCAACATGGTACTTTCATATGCATAGCAGTTTGGTTTTCTTCTTCTGTCTTTCTCTATGTTCTGACCACCTAATGCGTATTAGAATAACATTCTATAATTATAGTAATATTAGGTCTGATCATCTGATGACAACTTTGTTGACAATTTCTGATTTTTGCTCACATATGAAACGGAATGTACAGCGGTCGTCTTGAGTAACACTGAGAATGCTGTTGTTGTTTATTAAAAAAGTGGTCCCTATACAGGATACCATTAATCAACCCAATACATGCCTCATCATGGCTTTGCTTTCATAGGATGGTTAACTTTACGTTATTACTAGCCCTAATGATTTGTAGTACTTCACATAGTTTGTACATGCAAAATGCTATCTATTGCAGATGTTTCGTTCTCAATATGCAGAATGAATAACCAAATTTGTGTACACAGTAGGATTTTATATATTATGCTTGCTACTTATGTTTGATATAGCTTATATAGTTCGTAGAAAATAGAAATAAATTTGGCGCCATGTTTGTCCCGATAATGTCATGTTTGTAAGGCAAAATCAAGGAGAATCTCTTTTTTTGGAGAATGATAGAATAACATTTCTCAGGTTTGAGGGTTGTTTCTGGCTGATTAAACTACGATTTTTTTTCCTTCACAAAATGGCTCGAAAACAATGATATCGCCGTTTCATTAAAAAATATCGAAAAGATGCCCTTCTTTGCTAATAAGCGGGGGGGGGGGGGGGGGGGGGTGTCTGCTATTTGCGGGGAAACTCTGGTTATATTCTCTTGTTATACTGTCATAAAAATCTAAACGTAAATTTTTAGCACCAGTCGTGATGTTACTTGAAAAAGTAGTCGGGTATAATTATAATGATAAGTAGGCCTATACTGGGTGTCATAAATATGATTTATGTGGTAAATGTACATCAATTAACAGACTTCTGCTTGGTAAAAATGACGTTTAGTCTAACATTATGACAATCTTAACAGTTATTAACAATTCTCTTTGCTTAGTATGCTAGAAAATACCACGACTAGTTAATATTACGTTCGATATCATACGTATATTCTCCCTAAACCTCCTAATTTCAATGTTTATATGTTTGAATATATTTGTCAAACAAAAAGAAGATTAAAAAAAGTGAATAAAAGAATATGTACACCGGAAGCCGTAAAATGAGAGAAACACATTTTGGTTTTACCCTTACCATTGTAAACCAAACACAAGGCACCATTCCTGTCGTTAATGAAAAAAAAAATTACAAAAACGATCACTTTCTAGCAGAATAATCTCACTGTAAAAACTCCAAACATTCTGACTAATGCTTTTTTCTCCACGTTTATCACAAGTCTATGAAAACCTTTGTAAAGCTATCTATTTCTCCTTTTTGTGTTTTATGTTTAGTATCCTACTTAGGAAAATGGATATAGGCCTAGTCTTTGTTGTAATAACTCACAGAAAATTGGAAGAAAAGAATTAAAGCCAGGCAAACTGAACTTTATCAACAACCAATTTTTTTAAAATTTGTATTATCTACAGAAAGATCTGACGATTTCCCATTCACAAACAGCAAAATGGTATGGCATTATTCTCTTTCCATTTGTCATTAGCGTAGTTTAGGCAATTTGCTTCATGATCGTGTCAAAATCAATATATTCGTCTATTACGAGTCTAACGCCCGATGCACACGAGTTGTCTCTTTGATGACGCAAGGTTGCGTCAGCGATTACCGTGGTTTTTGACGCACCGTGTGAGGGCGCTAGCTTACAGCATGTGCATGGAAAGTGAACAGCGCAAACGTTGCGTTTAGTTCCTGGCGTATGAGCTAATTGCCATTGCAGGTTCGACTGACGCAAACGAAATGACGCCCAGTGTGCAATGGACAAAAGAATCAAGAATTAACCCCCTGTATTGACGTAACAAAGGGAGGGGTGACGAAGTGTGCGTTTACACACGACGAACATGAGAAATCTGCGTTCACATCAAGAAGCATGTAATTCTCTCTTGCCACTTATCTACTTGTGGGAAACGTAACTTAACTACATCATACAGCGGTGATAGAGAACTATATACGTTAAAAGTAAGAACGCATCATTTAAATATCATCAATAAACAAGTAACGCTCTCCAAGCAAACAAATCAAACATCGGGTATGTGTTTGAAAAAATGTCCAATTTGATAAAACTTTCTCTTTCTCTCTCTCTAATCATTTTCCCTTCTTGCTTGAAGAAATCCTATTCTGCTGTTTCAGTGGCAGCGCCCTCTTCGGCGGGTTTCTCATCTGAGGCGGGTTTGTCCTCTGATGCCGCTTCCTCCTTCTTTTCTTCGGCGTTCGTCTCTTCGGCTTTCTCCTCGGCCTTCTCCTCGGCCTTTTCCGGTTCGGCTTCCCCGTTCTCGGCAGGTACCTCCTCTTCGGGCTTGGCTTCTCCTTCCTCTTCTTTGTTCTCCTCTTCACCTTCTGCCTTGCCGTCCTTCTTCTCCTTCTTATCCTGCCCCGTCAACTTCTTCCAGTACTGTGGGGAGAAAGTGAATTGGTGAGAATATTGGATGGAAACCATTAAAAAGAAGTTCCGGGAAATGTGAAAAACGAATTTGTGAGATTTGTCATTCTATATCATGTTAGTGTCGAAGGGTATCGTACAAAAGTTTTCCCCTGAAAAGGATTGCTGTTCACATGCCCTCGTATTCAAGATATGGCAAGGAACAGCTAAGGGTGTGGACGGCGTTTATTTGCCACATGTTGTATAGTCCCATTTCTGCGCGCGGCCCATGTGACTTTCAGGAAAACTTGACAAATGTCGTATAATTTAGATGATTCCAAAACCTCACATTATATATCAATATTTATTTCCTACCTGGTCAACCTTTCTCAATTGCTTTAATCAAAAAATCTTTTTCAATCCAATCTAAAACCTCAAATCACAAGTTTGTCTCGAACTTTTTGCCTGCTTTGGTAAATGAATAGAGCAACCAGTGGTCTGCCACAGGCGACTTTTATTACAATTATCATGCAGTATGCAAAATATAACCTACACTCAAACTTGGTGGTAGTTGAGGGTTCCAGCACCAGGCAAAGTCACCACAAAAGAAGGTTATGGGTATGAGCAACAAACGAAGAGAGAGGGAGATTAAGATAGATGGGTAGAGAGAGAGAGAGAGAGAGAGATGGGGTGGGAGTAAGCAGTAGAGAGCTACACAGAAAGAGAATGAACAAGAGGGAAAAGGAGAAGACAAGTGCGAAATATCGCCAGGGTCCCGTTGCATAAAACTTGTCACTTACTTAGCCATCAATGGTAACTTCCATGGAATACTTGATTTTGATTGGCTGTTGAGCAATGTTACCATGGTAGGCACCATTAATGGTAAGTCTTATGCAACAGGTCCCTGCTCGCTATTTTCATAAACTTTACCGTGTTGATGTCGTCATAAAGCGATACTGGGTAGCCGACCGTGACCTTGTTGACCATCATCTTGGGCATCCATCCTTTGAGATTGACCTGACCTACCCAGGTCACGTGGGTCGCGACCTCATCGCCCTCCTTAGGTCTGATCACAATGCCCATTACACCGACATCAGCCCTGCAAAGACAAACATCATGTGAGAGGCAGGCTAATTAGTATTACATATTTTACAAGTTGATATTTGTTACGATTACAAACCTTAAAGGCATCGTTTAACAATGTTAAATCTGATATGCATGGCACTATTTGTTATCATGTGTCTGTGATGTGGTGTAATATTGAAGCCCTGAAAAAAGTGCACTCCAAAATGATCATGAAGTGCATCAAAAAAGTAAAAATGTTTAAGTGACCAGTTTTACCATACTCATTTCCCCCAAGAATAGACTGCAGTGTTATAAAAACTGTTGGGATAACAGTTTTTGAAATTTCGTATTCCAATCATAAATATCGTGATAGTGACTGAGTGACTTAAAGGTTTATAATTATTATTGTAGCATGATCTAACTCCAGAATTTTGTTTAGAATCTGAGACAAAGATACCCAATTCCTTTAAAATGTTTCCTTTGTTGTTTCTTTGTTCCTTTTTTTGCTTATATTATGACACTCCCACACGCATTTTATAATTATATATCCAGTTAGAAATGTACGTGTACCGTATTTTAATTGATGGTTTTCTCTGGTGATTCAGTATTGTATATACATCGTTTCCTGATGCTATCTTGAATGCGTAAGTTGAAACTTTGTGTACAAATACAAATCTTATGTGTTTTGTTTTTGCTCTATAACGTTTTACGGCTATCAGAGAAGCCCTATGTTTACTATTACAAATCCGATTACAAATATCACTTGCTATTTGTTGTTGGGTGATTTGTTCGTGAAATTTAATAGTATTTTTGTACTTTTACGTTGTTTGATGGTTATATATCTGGTGTACAAGACAGACCTTATAAATGGCAATCATTACAAATATCATGTTTCTTATTCAAGCCTTATGTCATCACTCCTCAGCTGTTGGGGGTTTGATCAGATGATAGAGATATTTGTTAAGGATGGTGTTGCAGAGTGCTTTTACGTCATTAGCTGATACTCTGTTATGTCTAAGGGTTAAACGTTATGTCTTCCTGACAAAAGCTACGTCTACCATGACAAACATTATAGTACTACCTTATGTTTACCAATACAAATCTTATGTGTCCATTAGGTAATGAGATATTTAATGTCATATATATATATATATACCACTACCAAACTTATGTGTCCATTGTGTTTAATGTGGTTGTTCACATTGTGATGTTTAATGTCTTTATTATATCTTCCACTACAAACCTTATTAATCTATTTTGTTAGGTGATTATTCATACTATGATATTTAGTGTCTTATATCAACCACTACAAACCTTATGTGTCTATATTGTTAGGTTGGTGTTAATATTGTGTATTTAGTGTCTTATATCTACCATTACAAACCTTATGTAACAATGTTGTTAGGTCGTGGTTCATATTGTGATAATGAAAGTCTTGTATCTACCACTACAAACCTTATGTGTCTATATTGTTAGGTGGTGGTTCATATTGTGATAATGAATTTCTTATATCTACCATTACAAACCTTATGTGTCCCTTGCTGGTGGGTGGTTTGCTCGGGTGATTGCAGCTCTTGTAGAGGATGGTATGGCGGATGGGTTCTTCATCTGATCTTACTACGCAGCATTGGACAACATCACGATCATCGCAGGCGGTTGGCATCTTGAATACTCTGCAAGGTGACCATTAAGATGAAAGACTTATACATCAGCAAATATCAATTAGCATTAGTGAAAGAATCAAACACTTATGAGAAATACATCTACTATGGAATAGCAATGTTTTCTTTGAAGCTCGGACACGTTACCTACACAAATTACCCTTGCAACAAATATTTTAAAAAATAATTAAACGGTGGAAGCTAAACAGTGCTACAATCAACTATTGCTTAGTGTATTTGCAGCGTCAACAAATGAAACAAAAAGTAAACTCGATAAGAAATCGAGAATTCGCAGACAAAAAATAAACATTTGGGTAAACTGAGAGTGAGGATGGGGGGGGGGGGGGGTGGGCGAGTACCCCCTCGGTTAATTGATTAGTAGGGACTTTTAGATTTGCACGTCGACATAGTGGACGTCCTTTTAATGCAATGTGACTTCCTTTTAAGGCACCGTCATTGCCTTAAAAGGACGTCACACTTAGCAGTCCACTATGTCGACGTGTAAATCTAAAAGTCTCTAATAATTTAATGACAATGAAAAGAGCGTCGTATCGTAAACACAACGTCAAATTAAATATGTTCAGCTTGGACAGTGGCCAAGTATGTTGTTTTCAAACGCAAGCGGAGTTACGTGGGAGACAGGATGGGTTCGAGTGCTTCACAAATAATACACTTCAGAATCGTCACAACTAAAATAGACAATCGCCCTCAGATTTTGTCCTTGAAATGGTTCAGGTTTTTGACAGAAAAACACTTGAAGTACTTGGTCAATGTTTTTAAAAATCAAGGAAACTGTCTCTATAGTGATTTATCCATATTATACTATGAATGACGATTGAGTGGTTCGAATAAATCAAACAAAAACAAGCCTAAATCAATAATGTTTGCTCTGTAGGTACTTACATTTGATTCATCTGTATGACGTTACGTTATTGAAAGATGAATAAACCACTGTAAATTGTGTCAATTACCAACCATAATCTTATGCCTGAAATAATCCTGGAGAACGTTTCCTGAAACTTATTTTCTATAACAAATGCTAAACTTCTATGACAAATTTGCTCTCAGCCAATCAGATGCCTTGATTTCAGTAGCTTATAACAGTAGCTTGTAACTTGTTATCGATATCAAGTTTTATGAAACAGGGCCCAATAGTGGGCGTCTAATTGGGATCCAATAGTGTTTGCAACGCTAGTATAGGCGTATCCAATACATATACAATTTAGAAACCAAACAAAATATATATTCGTTTAAAGACATTGATAAAGGGGAAAGGGATGGGATTGGGTCCTGTTCTTCAAGTAGATCTAAGCTTTGGAAATAAAATATGATTGAATTTTCTTTGGAAACTCCGAAAAAGGCGGAGGGGTTGAGGGGGGGGGGGGGGTTGGAACCGCACAATGCTAGAAAATGCAATAGCAGTCAAACGCCTCTTCGTACATGACATGTAGTAAGTAGATTGGTAATATAATTAAAACAATTCTTCCTGATATTGTCAGACTAATGTTTCCTCGCCAATTATATACGAAATCAATAAAATAAATATGATCTTTTGTTTCCTTCTCAGACCTGTCAAACATATTTATACACTGTATCAAGGAGTGACTGTTAATATCTTTAATAGGCCATTTAAGCTAAATAAATATTATGCTCTCTGGAATATGATACATCTACATGCATAACTAAGTACGCTTCGTAAGGTTTTTTTTTCTATGCGCATGTAAATACGGAAATAGTCAAAATGTAGACACACATATGTTTCAGCTCTTGAATGTATCTAAATAATAAAACGTTAAGTGTCAAGTTAACACTCAGCAATATGTCATTTTCGTTATGTTATCAAATTTGATGCACAAATCTGTGTTAAGTGCCTAGTTATAAATCCTTGAGTTCACTTGTTACGAATAATTGTATTTCAATATTCAGAATGCGAATTAGATATATTACGAGTTGATAGGTAAGGCAATCCATAATATTTGTCTCGCCAAAGCAGCCATTGATTATATGCAATACGTTTTCTGATTATTGAAATACAATTATTCGTTGCAAGTGAATTAAATAATTTGTAACGAATTAAGCAATGTGTGCATTAAATTTGATTACCCTATGAAAATGGCCTATTAGAGTTTAGCAATTACTGAGTCCCAGTGATTTCATGCAAAATATATGTTTACCAATCTTATGCATAGGCCTACTTATTGAAGAAAATAATTATGTTGGCAACTGAAAAGATTGCCAAGGGGTTGCCAGACATAGCAAGAGCTAGTGTATGCAAAGCGGATTCTATCTAAAGAGATGCCAGTATGTATTGCAGGTATCCTCTTTCATAGAGGAAGTTCTACAGAGTTCTACAGAGAATCATGCATAATTTGAAATACATTACTATTTTTATTAACGAGGGGGGGGGGGGGGGGGGGGGGGGGGTGGGGGGTTCATAAAAACTAAGATTGACTTTAAGTTGGACCTAACTATGGCAGGCCGTTCATGCCACTGTTTTGCTCTCACCATTTCACTGGCATTGGTCTCTGATGGGACGTCCAAATCATGGTCCCAAATCTACATCATTTACATTAGTTGATAATTAATTATTGGAGGTAAATATAACATCTAAATAACATAATGGTGAGAGCAACTAGTTGCATGAACGGCCTGTCATAGTGAAGTCCAACTTAAAGTCGATCTAAGTCTTTGTGAAACACTCCCCTGGGGACCGTTTCATAAAACCTTTTATCTATAACAAATGCTAAATTTCTATGACAAATTTGCTCTCAGCCAATCAGATGCCATGATTTCAGTAGCTTATAACAGTAGCTTTTAACTTGTTATTGATATCAAGTTTTATGAAACAGGGTCCAGGTCTATTGTAACCTACAGATAACTGTCTGACCTATAAGACTACGCGCCAGCTGCTAAAATGGCGGACAATGGCACTTCTTATCCTGTTTGTTTTCTAAACATTCACCATACAAAAGAACGGGGAAATCACATCCACAGGCTTGTATCAAATTCCATCAATATTGCCAGCCCTAACCGACTTTCGTTTCTTAAGGAATCTGCAACCGACCCCGGTGGAATGCGAACCTTGAACTCACAGTGAAAAGAAAAGAGTCTGTCCCGCCATTTTAATATAGTTTTAATGCACGCCCAGTCACATATGAACAGTTGGACCAGCACGGGAGATCAAACCCCGCCCCTGCATGCTTGGTGGATGGAACGAGTGGTTTGCGTGTAATGAGCCACGGTTCTTGCAGGGGCCGAGTACGGGTGCACTGGGTACATCTCTGAATGACCGCTAGTACGATATTGCAGCCTTAAAGAGAAGGCTAAGTTCATAAAGTTGAAAAAAATATGTGTGAGTTTTCCCATACGTTTCATGCTAGTAGTGGATGAGCATCAAGATTTCAAAAAGGTCCCCAGGAAACGATTACTATTAAGATGTCCTCATGTTTTAAATATGACAAGAAATAGCTTTAGATTTGGGCCAGAGTTTCCCATGTGTGTGTGTGTGTAGGGGGAGGGGTGCGAGGCCTAGTACCTCTGTTGCATTTCTCTCTGCAAATCAGCCGGGGTAAATTTCAGAACATTTTAATGATTCCAAGTCCTAAAGATAATAATGAGTTGTGAAAGGACAACAATAATAATTGAGCTTTCTCATAATTTGTATAACATTGTGAAAATAAATATTACAGAGTATGGAAACCCCTTGCAAAGGATTGCACTTTAAATGTATTGATATTCGGAATATGACACGAAACTTGTTATCAATGTGAGTTGAAGTTCGACATATTCATTTCTGTGTGCAGTGCTTCAGCTTGTGCATGTGATTTTCGGCAAGGAGACAATTTCTCAACAGTTTGATGATTATAGAATATCACAGCAAATCAACTTTTCCCAATACGTTCAAAGGCAATCTCTTTAACAATGAAATGGCATGGCCATGGCCCCGTCTCATTGATCCGAATCAATCGTAAGTCCTCTAATCAATCACAAGTTTGCAGTCCATATATCTTATGTTTATAGTTGCGATTGATAATAATATATCTGTAAAGCGCTTAGGTACATCGTTGGATCGGTGTATTGAGCGCTATATAAAAAACCGGATTATTATTATTATTATTATTATTATAAGTTGCGATTAATCTGTTTATTAGACGGGGCCCCAAAACCCAACTTTATCCTTAATTAATCCGAACACTGGCTGTACATCCACTCTCTCTCCCTTCCTCCTCCCTTTCCAATGAAAGCCGATGTATTTTCGCGGTTTAGGGCAGAACAATCGTTAAAGTAAAATGGCTAAAACAATTTTCACAAGGCCTTGCCTTTATGATATCTTGTTACATTTCTTCCACGACTCGATGCCGTATAATCATACGCGTGTATGCGGTAAACTTTCAAAAATGAGATCTATAGAGCGAATCTACGGTTACAGACCACAATAAATGTTCATTCTCTTTCAGTGTATTAACCTGCTCAGGACAATTTCCCTTCTTCTGTGGTTTGATTCAATCACTTTTGAGTCATACCCCGATGGAATAATACCGCATGCATTATCGGAACAAGAATATTTCTGCACATAGTGTATTCAGTTTTGTGTAGCAACTAGGGGGTTCGATGTCAGACGTTCTTTGATGATTTAATACAAATATGAAGATCATTAAATTGGCAACATATTGATTCCACACCGTTTTTCAATACCGATTCGCATTTAATAAATTAATAAAAAATTAAGTAATAAACTATTGAAAAATAATAATATTAATTATAATAATAACGATACTGATGTTGATAATGATGACGATAATAATACAAATAACAATGATAAAAATAATAATAATAACAATGGAATTATAATATCATAGATTATACAAATAATCGTAATGTTTAGTAAACATAATAAGAATAACAATATTCTTTTATTAACAAACAACTGCAGCCTGTAAACACCGAAAGGAGGTTGAGGAAGGGGCTGGAGATGGCAGGCGCGGATCCAGGGGGGGGGGGGCCGAGCGTGCCTTGGCCCCCCCCCCCCCCGCAAAAAAAAAAAAAAAAGAGAGAGAGAAGGAAAAGAAGGGAAAGAGGAGAGAAAGGGAAACAAAGAAGAGGAAGAAGAAAAGAAAAGAGGGAAGAAGGAGATTGGGGGGGGGGGGAGGACTTGCCTCCCCCTTCCCCCCCCCCCCCATAAAAAAAAATAAAGAGAAGGAAGGAAAGGGAAAGAAAAAATATAATGAGGAGATAAAGGGAAGGACAAAATAGGAAGAAGAAAAGAAAAGAAGGGGGATATCAGTTGCAATTTTCCCGCCAACAAGTTGTGGATCGAGGGGGGGGGGGGCAAAAGACCTATAGCCTCCCCCCCCCCGTCCCCGCTAAAAAAAAGAGAGAAGGAAGGAAAAGGAAAAGAGGAGAGCTAAAAGGGAATAAAAAGAGGAAGAAAAAAAAAAAGGGAGAAAAGAAGCGGAGATCAGTTGCGGTTAATCCCGCCAACAATGTGTGGAGCGGGTTGGGGACCAAAATGACCGTGCCCTTCCCCTCCCCAGCAAACCTAAAAGAGAGATAAGGAAGGGAAGGGAAAGTGAAAAAGGAGAGAAAGGGAAAGGAAAAAAAAAGAGAATGAAGAAAGGTAAGGGATATCAGTTGCAATTTTCCCGCCAACAAGGTGTAGATCGGAGGGGGGGGGGGGGCACTGGCATACTGATAGGGGAGGGGGGGGGGGGGGGGGGGTTGGAGAAATAGAATTCAAACGTGGTTTATTTATAATTCCATAACGGTGGTTAACAAATAATGCTGAAATGATAATTTTCCTCACTTCATGCGTTTGTTAGAAAATGACAAATTCCGAAATTTACAGCCAGGCAAGAAAATGCTTCTTGAGATGCCTACATATCAGGGCCTGCGGAACGGCGGGGATCGGGATCCTCGAGCCCCTCCCCCCACACTTTCTTTGAAAAAGTATATTAAAGAAAAATAGAAAGAAAGAGAGCGAGAAAGAAAAAATAGTTAACTGCCTGTGTCACATTATAATGGGGTATCAAAATATGCTCTGCCCCCTGGATTCCACCTAGGGCCCTAAGGCGGGCCCTTAGATGCTCATATGACGGTCATTTAATGCCTAAAACCCCTGATTTCTGGGGGCTCTGCCCCTGGACCCCACGCCAAATAGTGTCCTGCTAGTGTCACAAATAATAAGGTATCAAAAATGCTCATATGACCGTAATTAAACGCCTAAAACCCCTGAGCTTCTGGGGGCTCTGCCCCTGGACCCAACCAAGAGCCCTTAGGCGGACCCCTTGATACTCATCTGACCGGAATTGAGCGCCTAAAACCCTTAAGATTCCGGGGCTCCGCCCCCTGAACCCCAAGCCAATTAGTGACCTGCCATTGTAACAATTAGGTATCAAAATAATGCTCATCTGACCGTAATTAAATGCCTAAACTCCTGAACTTCCGGGGCTCTGCCCCCTGGACCCCGTCTAGGGCGCTAAGGCGGACCCCTGAATGCTAATCTGATCGTAAATTAAAACCTTAAACCCCTGAGCTTCCGGGGCGGACAAGGTATCAACATATGTTCATCTGACAGCAGGCGCGTAGGGGGCGGTGGGGTGGTCCCCCAATAAACGCCGGCTAAAAAAGAGAGGAGTGTAAAGGAAGAGGTCGTAGGAAGAAAAGGGAATAGACAAAGAACATATTTGAAATTCAGACAAGGATTAAGAGTCGAGAACGGTACAACGAATCGTCTTCATTCTCTAAAAATTAAATGAAACGTCGAAGCGGGGGGAAAACTGAATTTAGACAAGGATTAAGAGTCGAGAACAGTACAACGAATCGTCTTCTTTTTTTAATGATTTAATGAAACGTAAAAGCTTCCGCGCTTCGCGGGGGAGGGGGAAAACTGAATTTAGACAAGGATTAAAAGTCATAACGGTAAAACGAATCGTCTTACTTCGCTAATGATTTAATGAAACGTAAAATCTGTATTCAGACGAGGATTATTTTCGAGAACGGTACAACGAATCGTCTTCTTTCTCTAATGATTTAATGAAACGTACAAGCTTCCGCGCTTCGTGTGGGAGGGAGGAGGGGAAAACTGAATTCAGATGAGGATTAAGAGTCGAGAACGGTACAATGAATCGTCTTCTTTCTCTAATGATTTAATGAAACGTAAAAGCTTGCGAGCTTTGCGCGGGAGAGGGGGATGAATGAACGAGGATTAAGAGTAAAAACTGTACAAGGAATCGTCTTCTTTTTCTAATGATTTGATGAAACGTAAAAGCTTCCGCGCTTCGCGCGGGAGGGGAAAAACTATTTTCAGACGAGTAGGCACGTACGGAAGGGGGGGAGGGGGTTAGGGGGTTGACCCTCCCCCCTTCGGTTTTTTATGTGTGTATTTTGGAGCAACCCCCCCCCCCCCCCCCCCCCCTTATCTGTGATTTTTTTTTTTTTTTTTTTTTTTAATTAAAAAAAAAAAAAAAAAATATGCCAATGGCTGACCTAAAAAAGGTGACCTCACCCCCCCCCAACGGAACAAAATGTCATATTTTCAAATTTCGAGAAAAAAAAAAAGTGTCCTCTTTCCCCCCCCCCCCCCCCCCCCCCCCCCCCCCCCCCCCCCCCCCCGCTTATTTAGCGGCTGGCTGAGTCGTTACGATTTTTTTTTCGGACCAAAAAAAAAAAAGTGGGCCCCCCCCCCTAAGAAATCCTGGATCCGCGCCTGGGAGATGGGATGGGGGACAGGGGAGGGGCAGGGGGGGGGTGGTTACTTACGTGTAGACGACTTTGAAGTCTTCCTTCTCTTCCAAAACCTCGAATGTTGGCGACTTCTTGTTCCACTTCCGCCTCTGTTCGGGATCGGTGAAGAATTCAAGCACTGCAGACAAAATAGAAAATAAGACAAATGTAATTTAAAGGGAATCTGTGAGATGTAAGTAATAGATATTGAGCATCATTGAATATGTGTACTTTATATATCTTTTCAAGTTTAAAACTCAGCTGGCCTAAAGCAGCGAAAGCATTTTGGGAATAACCTTTACATGTTAACATGACTTTAGTCATGAGATTATAATTATATGTGTTATATGCAATGTCTTGTTAAATTCAGTTAGGAAAAAGAGATAAATCAGGCTAACAATCGTCTGCGGTTTCATGCACTTTTCTACGAACTCGCTAATAGAAAATCGATTATTCATAGCAACTTTACTCTTTGCAGACGAACTGAAATAACCACTACAAAGCAACGAGTTCTGGAGATATTTCCGCTTGTATACGTTTGTTTTCCTCACCAATGCAGATCCCCTAGATAACAACCAATGTTTGATAGTGTATAACCGAAAAACGAATTGTGTTAGTTATACAAAATCTATAATATTAATTTTAGCGTGATTTGCAATCCGTTATATAATTTTGCTTAGCATTATGATAATATCATTTTTGTCATTGTTAATTATTGTAATATTATATCAAATTTCGGAAAAAAAGAAGAACGAAAAAAAGGGGTAAAACCTAAACACGACACTTTTTGACTCCTTAGATCCCGTCCTGGCGAGAGATATATAGTAACAGTATAATTTTGAATACCTTATTTGTTCAACACATGTTTTCACACAAATTTGATAATTAATAAATAAATAATAATAACAGAAGAAATCACGTACCTTTGTCCACTGGGATGCCGGTGAAGTCCATTGAGGCCTGTGGCATTGATAGATAGATAGTAGGATATATCGATACATAGAGTAGAGAGATAAAGAAAGAAAAATAGATAGACAGATAGAGTAACAGATATATAGAAAGATAGATAGATAGGTAGAGTAGAGAGATAAAGAAAGAAATATAGATATATAGATCGCCGCATACAGCGAAAGAGAGAGAAGATGAAGGGAAAGAGAGAGGGAGAGAGAGAGAGAGAGAGAGATAAAAACGTTAATCAATACACAATATTTGAGGGATTAAACATTGATTATAAAGCAATCTAAACCGTATACCAGACGGTTATTAATAACCACTGACCCAATGCAACTTGTCACGATTTATCATAAAATTGCTCAACTAGATAATTAACAAAGCGAAACGAATGACAAACAACCTATGAATCATGCGATAGAGGTAATCTATTTTGTGTTATTCCGAGAAAAAATGGTTATATGCATACATCGTGATAGAGTGAAACGTTATGATCAAGGATAACGTTGAGTTCTGGGCCCCGTTTCACAAAACTTGTCATCAGTGAAAAATGACAGTTTGTGTGATAAGCTACTGAAATCCTTGCTTCTGATTGGTTATCAGCAGATATGTCACTTATTTTTGTCATTTGAAATGTGAAAATAGGCTTGGTGAAACCGGTCCCTGGTCGTGCGATTGCATTGTGAAAGAAACTGTCTGGAAACTATCAATCAATAGTTTTTATAAGAAGAAAAATCAAAGCAAATAAAATTAATACAACAAAACAGTCAAAATACAGAGCAATTAATGTCATGGCCAATGTACTAAAACATGTTTCACTTTAAAATTTATATAAAATTAAAAAATAGTACTCAAATAAAAGCCTATGATGGCTTTATGAGACAAAGTTCTCACTAAGATTCATGATTGATTATTATTGCGCATAGAGTCTAACAAATACGACAAAAATAAGTAACTTATTGTGGAAAAGAGGGATTTGGAAGATAAAGGCTGATTCTTTTAAAGGTATTTATAATACAAAATACGGTTTCTGTCTTTTTTTAATGTATACACTATTCTCGTATAAGCGTATGACATATGTAATAGTGTACACACAATTTGGTAGAGTATTTCTTACGTATTCTTTTAAAGAATGAAGTATTCGTACATGTATGTATACTAATATACATAAATAACACACATTGGTACATTAACAACAAGTGTATAGAATGACCACGTGCAAGATTCCAGACACATGCTGCGCGCCGCACACACCCATTTTCCGCCACCTTGTATTTAGGTAATGCGTGTGTATATTTGTGTGGATGGGAAGTTAAGTGTATATGTAAATGAAATGTGCGCCATGCATTAGACACATTCAATGCGCTTGCAATAAGATGTCTGCATCTTGGAATCATTGCTGGAGTTTCGGTCATTTCTAAACCAGCATTGCGAAATCTTGCGGCGTAATGATGATTTCTCCCATTAGTTCATCATTCGCATTATTGTACTGCTGGCTTTTTATTGACGATAAAACGGAAGTTTCGTTTTTTTCTAGTTTCTTTTGTAAACTTGGTATCCTGATAAAATAGTATTTCTACTGTTTCTCCCCCTTTTCCCCCTTATTTTTCCCTCTCTCTTTCCATCCCCTCTGTTCTCGTTTTCTCATCACTCTCTTTCTTTCTCTTGTCTATCTATCCCCTTCTCCTCTGGTTTCCCATCTCTCTATCTCACTGTTCCTTCTCCTTTAACCCTCACATGTGTATTTCGCTTCATTTCCGCCTCACCCTGTCTTTCTCACTCCCCCTCCACCGTCTCTCCCTTTAATTCTCCTCATATCCTACACAGCTCAGCGATTAGACTATCCGTATATCGTCAAACATCGGCCATGTCACATAACGTCTTGCGATTTATGAGAATTCCCTACAGCATTGTCTCATTTAATATGATTTACAGGTCTTATAACAGGATCTTTATATGAGCGCCCAGGTCCGGTTGAAGCAGGGATCAATTTCGACCCTGTTTTTACTCCCTCCGTTTTCTCTTGGAAGCTCTATTGGCTTTTATCTCTATAATGATACGATTCCGGGGGTATGTTTTCCTGCCTAATATCCGGTTCCTTTGTAATGTATCTGTCTTGTCATTAATGCTTATATTTATAGCCAAGATCATATTTTTCGACGAACACGATAGAGTTTTTCTCTGTAACAAGCCCCACCCCTCCCCACCCTCTCTTTCTTACCCCTCTCCCATCGTATTCTTGCTCTGCTACTGATAATAATATCCGGCTCTTCGGTAATGTATCTATGCTCTCATGAATGTCCATGTAACTAAGATTATAATCTTTTTAACGAACATAATGTATTTTCTTCCTGTTACAAGCCACCCCCTCCCCCCTGCCAAAGTATCGTCGCGTTGCCACTGATAATAATATCCATTCCTCAGTAATGTTAAAATGTATATGTTCTGTCAATGATGTTCATACATCATTTTAACGACAGTGTACTAACTCCTTGTCGCAACCCCACACCCTCTTCCCCAGCACCCCACCATCTCTCTCTCTCTCTCTCTCTGTTTATTTTGCTGTCAATTCTTTTATTTGTATCTGTGACTTTACTAGCCTCGTCTTTTTTTCCCTGCTCTTTCTGTCCCTGCATCCTTTCTTTCTTATTCTTTCTATAACAATATAACAAAATAACATATGTAATTTCCCCCTCTCCCTTCCCATCCTACCCCATACCTCTCTTAAAGAAGAAAAAAGGATGAAGAAGAAGAAGAAGAAGAAGAAGAAGAAGAAGAAGAAGAAGAAGAAGAAGAAGAAGAAGGAGAAAGAATATCAACACATCCGTAACTGCAATGTCGCAAAATCTGTAGGGATACTGCTTTTGTATTGATCAAATTTATGATATCAATATCACTCTGCAACCTTAATTACTGGAGTTAATCAACGCTGTATGCAACTACATCCGTCGATATTCCAATCGATAACTGAAGGACAAGTAACAAGATAGAGAGAAAGAGAAAAGAAGAGAGTCGAATTCCGTGCAAATGCATTAACAAAGACGTATAATGGTCAGTTAATTATGCAACGGTTATGATGGGTTGCATATAAAGAAGATGCTTCATTGCCGCGTTGAGATTGCGGTCGCGATACAGGAAATCGTTTGCATTCGGTAAATAGGAATACGATCATAATTACCGTCTGTTCAGAGCTAGTAGGGCGTTACGTCCTATGGTCTAAACGCCTTTCTGGCTCTAAACTGACATGACAGATTAGATAGTTGCCTACTAAAAGTGAAAGTGATACTATGTAGATATAACTGATAGCTCGCTATTAAATGCGCTTACGATATTTGACAGGTGGTTATGATAAATATGAGCGTACTTGATCATTTGTGCGATTAGAAACTTCAAAGGTTATTTAAAAAAGAAATACATGTACAACGTTGAGGTGGGCATTATAAAATATAACATAGGCCTATAAGACAACCTGGTATGTATTGAAATATACATTAAGCCTCTCCTATTGATGAATTATCTTAATGAAAGGTGATGTTTCAGTGTAAGAATGTATAACACGTATTAAACAACTTTATTGTTTTGAGAGAAATTCGGTAAGCTTATCCTTTGTACGCTAATCAATCGAAGTATCCACGTGACCACGCGTTAACTCATCTTGCTTAGATTGTAAAACACCGCTCACGCAGCGTGTTAGCTAGCTATGAGATGGAAGGTGAACTTAAATAAGGGCCCTGGAAGGGATTCGAACCCCGTTCCTAATGCTTCAAAGGCCAATCCAGCAACGTATCCACTAGACCACGTCAGCTCATCTTGCTTAGATAGTAAACCACCGCCAACACAGTGTGCTAGCTATGTGATACACAGGGAATCACAAAGATAAGGGCCCTGGATGGGATTCGAACCCCGTTCCTAATGCTTCAAAGGCCAACCCAGCAACGTATCCACTAGGCCACGTCGACTCATCTTCCTTAGATAGTAAAACACCGCCCACGCAGTGTGTTACCTATGTGATGCATGGTGACTCACACATCAGTTCTCGGGTCAACCAACACCCGCCTACATGTATTCACGCCGGGAAACGACGACCGTGTGATTGCTTCATTAACCATTAAATGATGATATTTCTTCTTAGTGCTGATTATAACGTGTTCATGTAGGGTGTATACAAGCGAAAATTGCTTTAGCGACCACTTGTAAATAAAGACAACCTGTTTATAAAGACCACATTGTTTGTTTCCCTTGACGATCTTTTCTCATAGAGACCTGTATTAAAGTAACCTCTATAAAGACCACTTTTCTTGTCACCCTGGAGTGGTTTTTACACACAGGTTTCACTGTATAACTATATTCATGAAACAGCAACATGTACATTGTACACGTGTAAAGCCTTTTATGCGTTCTTGCATCAGAGGTAAAATATGTCGCCAATGCGCCCAATGCGCCCAATGCGCTGTAATTGAGAAAATGAAAGAAAAAGAAGGGGGAAAAAGAAGAGGGAAAGAGTAGAGAAGAGTGAGATACGCTTGGTATACTTCCGTAAGTCATCAATTTACCCATTGACTACTGAATTGACATTTTAAAGGGATCCGGTAACTTTGTCTCAAGTTCTAAAACAAAATCATGGATTTAGCTCATGTTGCAATGACTACTGAATTGACATTTTCCCTAGAGTTTGAATACGGTAAGCCACCCAGTTCCAGTCGGCATTGAATTAAGACTGGATATTGTTTCTCCAAAGAAATGTTTTAAGATGTGTGTTCAAGTTGACAACAATGTCACAATTGTAGATATATTCTGGCAATTTGTTCAAAAGCTCTGCTGGTGTAACCTGAGAACTATGAATCGGAGGACAAACTCAACATGTAATTTATCGTATACCAATGGATATTAACAATGGAGGATTTGTTATCAGACATGACTCAGACAATTTGGCACAATAAAGTTATTATTAACGTATCGGAGATGTAACACAGCGAGGGGACTGGTGACCATTTCTTAAAATAAA